CAGCTTTCTGAGTGCGGTCCTGGTCCAGGGCTTGAAGCTGGTCTAGGGTTTAGGGTTTAGGGTTTAGGGTTTAGGGTTTAGGGTTTAGGGTTTAGGGTTTAGGGTTTAGGGTTTACTTTTTGGGCGACCCTCTGAACCCTAAACCCTGAATCCCAAACCCTTATAAGCCCTGAATCCTGAACCCAGCAGACTTGGCCGTGCCTCAGCGGCCTCCATCTCCTGCTTGGTCGACTGCTCGATTTGCTCCGCCTTTCGTCGGACACGTGCGGTTTAGGGTTTAGGGGCTTAGGGGCTTAGGGGCTTAGGGTTTAGGGTTTAGGGTTTAGGGTTTAGGGTTTAGGGTTTAGGGTTTAGGGTTTAGGGTCTGGGGTTTAGGGTTTAGGGTTAAACACCACGCGTTGGCCGAATAGCTCTGTTTACTTGATGCAAGTCTTGTCTGCAGCGGGGAACATTCCTGCAACCTGCGAAGTCTCCTGCTGAGTCCAGCGGCTAAACCTCTTTATATGTAACAAACATGTATATATATATATATATATATATATTATGTATATATATATAGATACACATGTGTATATGTTTCAATGTCATGTCAATGTGTACAATGAAGATGTGTACATTACATACACTCACACACACGTACATTACATACACACACACATCTATACATACATATATATATATATGTGCTTGAATTATATCTGTGGCTCGCAGCATGCTTACCACAGCTACTGCGGCGCGGTGAACATGGCACGTTCCCGCCAGGCCTCTGCTGCAAAGGCTTCCATGGTTTGCCTGCGCAGCACTAAGGCCACTATAGGGTTTAGGGTTTAGGGCTAAGGTTTAGGGTTTAGGGTTTAGGGTTTAGGGTTTAGGGTTTAGGGTTTAGGGTGTATGGGGTGTAGGGTGTAGGGTTTAGGGTTCGGGTTTAGGGTTTAGGAAAGCTGCGGGCTGATGGAAGCACTCAAGAGGCACTGAAGCCAAGGTGCTGCTTCGCAGTCAGATTCCTTGGTGCTGACAGGTGCTCGGGTGACAGATCTTGAAGGGCAGGCAAGGTCTTAGATGTACAGTCCTTAATGGGGATTATAATAAGGGGTACTATAATCCCTATTAAGGACTACTAGTACAAGGGGAAACATCCAAACCCAAACCCAAGACCGACCTTGGATTGGAATTGCAGACGAGCTTCTCTTCCTTTCCTGTCTTCTGTTCGAGATCTTTTCGGGCCTCCGGCAGGAAATGCAACCCACCTACTAACCTAAGGGCCGCCAAAGCCTTCACCAACAAACCACCCTCAATCCCGACATTCCGCAAGCCCCTAAACCCTAAACCCTAAACCCTAAACCCTAAACCCTAAACTCTACCCCCCTAAACCCTATACCCTCAACCCTAAACCCAAGAGCCTGTAGGAGCTCCTCCTTGGCAGACTCGACCTCGCCCTCCGCACGTCGGAGGAGGTCCTCCCATCAAGGGTCACTCTGTAGCGGCCCGAGTCTTGCTTTGCTGCGGGAGCTGCCAGGGTTTAGGGTTTAGGGTTTAGGGTTTAGGGTTTAGGGTTTAGGGTTTAGGGTTTAGGGTTTAGGGTTTAGGGTTTAGGGTTTAGGGTTTAGGGTTTCGGCAGCCGTCATTTTTGTTTTTTTTTTGCTTTTGGGGTTTAGGGTTTAGGGTTTAACTAGGCTTTAGGGTTCAGGGTTGAGGGTTTAGGGTTCAGGGTTGAGGGTTGGGATGTTCCCCTTATACTAACAGTCCGGGATTATAAAAGGGGGTACTCTAATCCCTTCTAAGGACTGTTAGTATAAGGGGTGAACATCCTAAGTTGAGGGCCTTTTCAAGCCGGAAAGAAACTCCTGGAGCCTCCGAACACAAGACAACCCCAAACCCCCAACAACGAAATGGTACAAAAACACTATATACCATACCATATATATATATATATGTATATGAAAGAACAAAGCCGCAACAAATTGAAGCCCATGTTTCGAACCCTGTGGCAAGCCCCGAATCCTGCAAGCCCACCCCTGAAACCCCAAACCCAACACCCCAACAAAAACCGAATCCCAGATGTAGGTTTCGGGTTTAGGGTTTAGGGTTCAGGGTTCTGATCACCCCTAAAGCCCTAAAGCCGGCACCCCTACAGCCCTAAAGCCCCAAAACCTGAATCCTAAACCCTAAACCCTAAACCCCAAACCCTAAACCCTGAATCCTAAACCCCTAAACCCTGGGCACTGAGCAAAGCATCCTGCGAAGCCTGGAGCTCGGCCTTTCGAAGATCTGCTGGGCTAGGGAGCCCTAAACCCTAAACCCTAAACCCTAGACCCTCAACCCTAAACCCTGAACCCTGAACCCTACATCCTGAACCCTGAACCCTAAACCCCATAAGCCCTAAACACTAAACCTTGAACCCTAAACCCTAAACCCTGAACCCTAAAAACCTTAAAAACCCTAAATCCTGAACCCTAAACCCTAAATCCTATAAACCCTAAACACTAAACCTTGAACCCTAAACCCTAAACCCTAAAAACCCCAAAATTGCCTAAACCCTAAACCCTAAAAACCCTAAAAACCCTAAAAACCCTAAAAACCCTAAAAACCCTAAAAACCCTAAAAACCCTAAAAACCCTAAAAACCCTAAAAACCCTAAAAACCCCAAAAACCCTGAAAACCCTGAAAACCCTACATCCTGAACCCGAAACCCTAAGCCGACCTCGGCCTCCTGCCGCTGGCGCTCCGCGTCAAGCAGGGCCGCCTCCACGTGTGGCTTGATTTAGGGTTTAGGGTTTAGGGTTTAGGGTTTAGGGTTTAGGGTTTAGGGTTTAGGGTTTAGGGTTTAGGGTTTAGGGTTTAGGGTTTAGGGGCTTATAGGGCTTGTAGGGCTTGGTTTCGGGTTTCGGGTTTCGGGTTTCGGGTTTCGGGTTTCGGGTTTCGGGCTTAGGGTTTAGGGTTTAGGCTTCACATAGGGTTCATAATAGGGTTTAGGGCTCAGGGTTTAGGGGCGAAGAATGAGGCCTTCCAGGCCCTAAGCTTCTTAAGAGCTCGTTCTACACAGAACCCACAACTCTTAAATGCCCTAAAGTTCCCTACAAGTAACTCGGTTCTACACAAGATTCCGAGATTGGCCCCGTTTTGGCCAAGGGCTGCACCTGCTTGGCCTCTTGCTCTGCATCCAAACGCTCCTTCTCCTGTCGATTTTGAGGTTTGGGGTTTCGGGCTTCGCGGTTCAGGAGTTAGGGGCTTCAGGGCTTTAGGGCACATGTGGGCCTTTCCCAGAATAGGGGTACACCCCTTACAAGCCCCGGCAAGCACGCACAGTGCCTTATGCCCCTAAACCCCAAACCCTGAACCCTGAACCATAAACCCTAAGACCTCCTCCACATGCCACAATGGACAATAGCCAGGCTGAAGAGTCAAGCTTTGGCTTCATAAACCGTCAGAAGCCCTAAACCCTTTTTCTTAGACCCGCTAAACCCCCCCCAGCCCCTAAACTCCCTGAAGTCCCTAATTCCCCCCCCTCCCCCCCCACAAAACGCCCGAAGCCCCCGCAAGCCCCCCTAAACCCTTAACCCTAAACCCTGATACCTAAACCCGAAACCCTAAATCCTAAGCCCTAAACTTACCCTAAATCCTAAACCCTGAACCCTGAACCCTAAACCCTAAACCCTAAACCCTAAACCGAGATGCAGAGAGAAGCTCCGGGAGAGCCCCTGTCCTGCAGCTTCTCATCCTTCACAGCCCTCACTCGGTTGAGAAGCTCCTGCAATTTTAGGGTTTAGGGTTTAGGGTTTAGGGTTTAGGGTTTAGGGTTTAGGGGTGAAGGCTTCGAACCTGAGCACAGGCACGCGAAACTCTCTAGAAGAAGCAGGGCATCCGGTGGATGTCCATGAGAGAGATGAATCTTGCCGGATGCCAGAAGTGCTCGAGCACTTGCATGGCTGCGAGTTGAGTATGCGGGATGGCGTGCACGGACTCCAAACCGTGTAGCAGAACCCTAAACCCCTAAGCCTAAGCCCTAAACCCTATAGCCCTAAACCCTAAACCCTAAACCCTAAACCCTAGACCCTAGACCCTAAACCCTAAACCCTAAAGGGCTTAAGCCCTATAGCCCTAAACCCTGAGGGATGCCATGCCATTCTAAAACCCTGCGCGGTGGCCAGACCCGACAGCTTTCGGCACCGCGATCTGGGTAGTTCTCTCAATTACGGTTTAGGGTTTAGGGATCAGGGTTTAGGGTTTAGGGCCGGTTTAGGGTTTAGGGTTTAGGGTTTAGGGTTTAGGGTTTAGGGTTTAGGGTTACCCAAGGGGGATTCTGCGCGCCTTGGCACTGAGCAGAGCATCCTGCGAAGCCTGGAGCTCGGCCTTTCGAAGATCTGCTGGGCTAGGGAGCCCTAAACCCTAAACCCTAAACCCGAAACCCTAAACCCTAAACAACCCTAACCCCTAAACCCTAAACTCCGACTCAGGCTGAGAAGGGCTGGTGTTGTCCATAAACCAAGGGCGCAGGTCAGAACTGGAGGGCTGTATGTCCGGGGGATCCAGAGAACCGGAAGTGCTGAGCATCCGCCTTCTTGTTTTTGAATGTTATATGTATATATATATATATATAAACTTCTTTATTTACCTCATGATGGCATTTTTTATACTACATTCCTGTATTATTGATGACATGGTTTTACGGTTGTATACAGTTGTGAGTTGTGACAGATCCATGTGCTGAACCCTACTTTGGAGTAGACCCTGGAAACAAGTACATACCTTCTAGGTATGAGTAGCTACAATAGGAACCGAGAACAAAAAGTATTAAAGTATAGTACTCCAAAGCCTAGTGAAAGCCACCGCTCAGATCTCAACCTGCCCCTTCCAACCAGTTCCGCCTCGCGCTTTGCCACAGCGTCCTGGAAAGATTCTTCACTTCCCAATTCGGGTTTTGGAGTTTAGGCTTCTGCAAGGGTTCAAAACCCTAGACCCTAATTAAACCCTAAACCCTAAACCCTAAACCCTAAACCGGGCTAAGAGCCACAGTTGCATAGCATGGCACGAGTGCAGCACTTCCCTGTTGGCGGAATGCTCGGACTCTCCGGCTCCTGGGCGTTTTGCTCCGCCTGAGCAGTGTGCACACTGTGTCACCCAGCCCACCTAAAACTAAGTCCAAGCCAACTGCCTCAGTAAGGTTGGTTGAAAAGGGGGAAGGGCGCAAGCTTTGCTGACGAGTTCGGGGGCTCTTTCAGCACGCGTCTTGCGAAGGTTTCCGTGCCCTCCTGGTATGAACAGACATGTCAAATTTGACCAACTCACTGCAAGAACTCGCAGCACACTCAGATAACCAAGTCTCGCCTAGGCAAGCCGAATTGATGCCTAACTACAACCCAGAAGCTCCAGAAGGTTAGGGTTTAGGCATAGGGTCTAGGGTTTTGGAGTTTAGGGGCTTCGACGGCCAGAACTCCATAATTGGGGAGAGGGGGTTTCAAGTCATATCACGATCCCAGCTACTTCAAGCTTCAGGCACCCTAAACCCCCGAAACCCCCGAAACCCCCGAAACCCCCTAAACCCCCAAACCCCCAAACCCCTAAATCCTAATTAAACCCCTAAACCCCTAAACCCCTAAACCCCTAACCCCTAAACCCCTAAACCCCCTAAACCCCCTAAACACCCTGAACCCCCGAAACCCCCTAAACACCCTAAACCCCCTTAAACCGCCTAAACCCCCAAACCCCCAAACCCCCAAACCCCTAAACCCCTAAACCCTAAACCCTAAACCCATAAAAACCCTAAAACCCCTAAACCCCTAAACACCTAAACCCCCTAATACCCCCTAAACCATAAAACCCCTAAACCCCCTACCAACCTACTAAACCCCTAAACCCCTAAACCCCTAAACCCCTAAACCCCTAAACCCCTAAACCCCTAAACCCCTAAACCCCTAATCCCCTAAACCCTAAACCCTAAACCCCTAAACCCTAAACCCTAAACCCTTTGCCCTAAACCCGCCTGCTGCGCGTCGGCAATGGCCGTTTCCGTGGAGGCCACGGCGCTCGCGAAGTCAAAGGAGGCGACGTAGGCCTCGTCTTTGATCCAAGCAGAGCCCCATGTTTGCTCAGGTTTCCCTAAGCCCTATATAAACCCTAAACTCAGTTTCCCTAAGCCCTAAACCCTAAACTCAGTTTCCCTAAACCCTAAACCCTAAACCCTAAACTCTAGTGCCCGGGTTTCGGGCTCCTGGCGAAGAGGCTAAGAGGTATGGGGCTCAGCGCTCGGTGTCTATAGCATTTTTTGTATAAAGCTTGGGGCTTAGAAGTTTAGGCTCAGGGCTTGGGGTTTAGGGTTTAGTGTTTAGGGTCTATGGTTTGGGGCTTGGGGTTTGGGACTTTGGCAGCCCTTGCACTCCCCGCCTGGCGCTCCTTCTCCCGGAAGTCTGCTGCCTGGCGGCCGGCCTCATGGGCCACAGCCTGAATCTCAGGGTTTCATGGGTCCTTACTGTGGTCCCTAACCTCCTTTAAAGGGTTTCGAAGTATACCCGAAACCCTAAACCTTCAACCCTAAACCCTAGACCCTAGACCCTAAACCCTAGACCCAAAACCCTAAACCCTAAACCCTAAAACCTAAACCCTAAACCCCATCCAGCCTCGGCCTCCGCGAGGCGCTGGCGCGCCGCCTCCTCCGCGGCGGCCGCGGTGGTGGCCTCCTGGCAGAGAGGAGGGTTTAGGGTTTAGGGTTTAGGGTTTAGGGTTTAGGGTTTAGGGTTTAGGGTTTAGGGTTTAGGGTTTAGGGTTTAGGGTTTAGGGTTTAGGGTTTAGGGTTTAGGGTTTAGGGGTTAGGGTTTGGGTTTAGGGGTTTGGGGTTAGGGGTTAGGTTTAGGGTTTAGGGTTAGGGTTTAGGGTTTAGGGTTTAGGGTTTAGGGTTTAGGGTTTAGGGTTTAGGGTTTAGGGTTTAGGGTTTAGGGTTTAGGGTTTAGGGTTTAGGGTTTAGGGTTCAATCTCAGAGCACTACCTACAGGTTCGAGGGTACTTATAAGTAGGGATATAAGTACCCTAAATACTGTTCTAACCACAGCTACCCTGTTATAACCCTACTTATAAGTACTCATGAACCTTGAAGTAGGAGGAAGGGATTTGGCTTTCGAGTCGAAGGGTTTCAAGGGATTGGGTTGTGTTGATGGTAAGAGCTTCAGACACAAGGGCTTTAGGGGGTGGTTTAGGGTTTAGGGTTTAGGGTTTAGGGTTTAGGGTTTAGGGTTTAGGGTTTAGGGTTTAGGGTTCAGGGCTTATCGTCTGGAGGGTTGGCGGCCTCTGGCTGCAACAGGAGCTCTTTGCAAGCTGGTGAGTTTTGTGAAGGTTTGGGGTTGGGGCCCGGCTGGAAAGGCGGCTTCATTCCGTAGGCAGAGGTGCAGCAAGTTTGCATATCCAAAACCCTCAACCCTAAACCCTGAACGGGTCGCCTGCACAGCATACTCCCGGAATTTGGACACGTGCAGGTGGTTGTCGGATGTGTCCTCGCCGCATGAAGGCACTCACTCTCTTGCGTTGAAACGATGGCTCATACCGTAACCTGCTTAACGTTTATGGATTTAGGGTTATAGGGTTTGGGGTCATAGGGTCATAGGGTTTAGGGCTACAAGGCTTAGGGGTTTGGGGTTTAGGGTTGAGGGCTATAGGGTTTAGGGCTTTAGGGTCTAGGGGTTTCGGGCTATAGGGTTTAGGGTTTAAGGTCTGGGGCTGCCTCACTGCCAACTGCAAACGTGGCCCGTCCTTCGTCTTCACAACTGCCGTGTCGTGGGCATCGCGCCAGAATTCTAGCCGTGCTTGGGACACCTGCACTGGGAACGCGGCATGACTAGGCAAACTCTGAAACCCTATAAGCCGAAACGCCTACAGCCTCGAAAACCTCTAAACCCTAGCCCTAAACCCTAAACCCTAAACCCTAAACCCTAAACCCTAAACCCTAAACCCTCTACCCTAAACCCTAAACCCTAAACCTCTGGAAGCCTCCTTGATGCCCCGGCATTGTTCCACGGCCCGCTCGGCGCGCCAGACCTCCATCGCACCGGAGATGCGCCGCTGCATCTTTGGGGTGTAGGGGTTTAGGGTTTAGGGTTTAGGGCTTAGGGTTTAGGGTTTAGGGTTTAGGGTTTGGGGCATAGGGTGGGTACTGTTCAGAAGAGGGGTAAACGGTGCGAGATGGGACCTACACCTGAACTTCGAAATCTTCAACAACTCCTGACGCGCCTTTGCCATGTTGACCAACTCTGCCTGGGCGAGGGCCTTCGCACGCTCATTCCTGTGCAGGCTCCGCGCGACCACCGCACTCTGCTTCTGGAGGACGTCCGAAATCATAAGTGTCACCCGCATACTTGGAGGTTCAGTACCCAATTATAAGTGTAGCTATTACCCACTTGTAAGCCCCTTAGTACCCAAACAGGATTATACTTGGGTTATAGGTGCAGTCATAATTGGGTCTCGAAGTACCATGAACCTCCAAGTATGCTTGGTAGCCCAGTCACCAGATTAAGGGCACCCTTTTTTTTGGGGGGGTTAGTGACTTAATAAGGGAACCTTGAACTAAAAACACGGGCAAAAAGGGGACTACTAGGCCACCAAGTATGGTCTCAGGAAGATGTCGTAGTTCAGGGGCGTTGGGGGTCTCTGGGCGTGATCCCTACACCCTAAACCCTAAACCCTAAACCCTAAACCCTAAACCCTTAACCCTTAACCCTAAACCCTAAACCCTAAACCCTAAACCAAACCCTAAACCCTAAACCCTAAACCCTAAACCCTAAACCCTAAACCCTAAACCCTAAACCCTAAACCCTAAACCCTAAACCCTAAACCCTAAACCTGCAGCGTCCACCTGGCATCTGAGTTCTTGGTCAAGGCTTCGAGTTCCTGCATCCCAGGCACATTGAATCATGGGTTTCTCTATGCTACCCCCCTTGTTTAGGGTTTAGGGTTTAGGGTTTAGGGTTTAGGGTTTAGGGCTACCCCCCCCCCCCCAGGTTCCCCCGTAAATAGCCTTAATTAGGCTGAATTATCGCTGTGGAGCCTTAATCATGGGGGGGAAACCTAGGGGCGTAGTATAGAATGGGGGTCGAAGGGGAACCCATGATTGAATCACAATGGAAGCTGCTCAAACTTCGGATCACTTGTTGGAGCCCTCTGTTATAAGGAATCCGGTATCAACCCTGCAACCTGAAGCCCCAAACCCGAGACCCGCAGCCCTAAACCCTAAACCCTAAACCCTAAACCCCAAACCCTTAACCCTAAACCCTAAACCCTAAACCCTAAACCCTAACCCCAAACCCCAAACCCTAAACCCTAACCCTAAACCCTGGACCCTAAACCCTCAGCCCTGTCCGCATTGAGCTTCTGGATCTCCGACTGCTTGGCAAGAGCTTCCTGCGAGCGACGATGCGAGTTTCAACTTCTCTGAAAGCTCGGGTTCAGACGTTTACGGGTTTCCTACATCCCCTTATACATACCCATTTAAGGGATTATATAGGGTGCCTCATTCCCTCAGTCCCTACGAACCAACAGTAAGGTCTTTAAGGTATAGGGCTTCGGAAGTTCAGGGGTTTCGGCTTTAAGGTATAGGGCTTCGGTCTCGGGGCTTAGGGTGTCGGATGCTGGTCTTAGTCTGCATGCAGATTCATGGTACTTAGTAGCCCCATAAGGATACTTAAGGGGCTTATACGTGGGTTTTGTTGGAGTTAGAATTGGGCTCTACTATAAGAACCCTGAATCTCCAAGTAGGGTTCGAGGGACACCTGGATTTAACGCCGGTCCTTCTGCGACGCTTCCGCCGACTCAACCCGCTTCTGGGCAGCATCAATCTGGCGAAGGCGTGCAAGGGCTTCACCCCCGAAACCCCTACACCGCTAGGCCCCTAGAGCCCTGAACCCCGCCCAAACCCCTAGACCCCTAAACCCCTAAGACCTCTAAACCCCTAAGCCCCTAAACCCTAAACCCCTGGGATTGCTCCCCCCCCTTTAAATAACAGTCCCTAATGGGGATTATAGTAGGGGGTACTTAAACCCTAAACCCTAAACCCTAATCCCTAAACCCTAAACCCTAAACCCTCAACCCTAAACCCTAATCCCTACTAAGGACTGTTGGTATAAGGGCAGGCTGAGGGGGCGAAGGCCTCCTTCTTCAGGCGCTCGTTCTCAGCCAGGATCGCCGCATCCGGACTCGCCGTGGCCTTCGCGAATATATTAGATGTGCAACAACTCCTAAACCCAAAACCCAAAACCCAAAACCCAAAACCCCAAACCCTAAACCCTAAACCCTAAACCCTAAACCCCAAACCCTAAACCCTAAACCCTAAACCCTAATCAAACCCTAAACCCTAACCTTCAAACTTCTAAGCCCTAAACCCGAAACGCTCAACCCCCTCCCTCCAGCCTGAGGTTGCGGGGCACTGGCGCCCCCTCCCATGGCATGACGCCAGCTGCAGGCTCACAAGAAGGCAGAGTTGTCAGAGCCGTGCCACCCTGGACCCTAAGACCTTGAGACCTGAAGACCTTATAAGACCCAAAGACCCTAAGACCTTAAGACCCTAAGACCTTAAGACCTTAAGCCCCTAAGACCCTAAACCCTAAACCCTAAACCCTAAAAGCCTGGACCTGGTTGTTGAGCAGTGCCGGCTAATGCAAAGTTTGGCACGGAGGCCGTGTTTAGACACGGGTGGTATCAGGGGTCCCCCTGTGAACCCTATAACAATTACTCCCCTTAGAACCTTAATTACAAAAATAATATTTTTAAATATCCACTTGGGTTTTGTCTACAAAAATAAAGAAAAATGATTCCCAGGGGGATATAGTATCAACATGGCTCGGGTGCTGTGCCTAGAAACTACTTTGAGCCTAAAGGCAATGAGCGCGAGGGTTCGTGAGGGTCTTGTGAACATGCTTTAAGCAAGAGCTGTACCCCATAGCGGTATGTGTATTGAAGAGCACTATATGCTTCACTCTGTGAAAGGGCCCCTCAGAAAGAGGCCCCGACATAGAACAGCTCCCCCATCATTCAGAACAACCGCAATGCAGCCACGACCTCCAACGCCCCCCAAAAAGCCGTAGATCCACTGCAATTACACTGAGAAGATCCCTAAACCCTAAACCCGAACCTCAACTTAGTTGCTGAGTTCATAAGCCCCAAGAATAATGTATACACTTTCAGTTCTGTAGGGGGATTATCGTATGCCAAGAATTGTCAAGGGCACTCATTCAGCTACTAAGTCAATGAGACCTTTCCGAGTGACGTCGAAGTCCTCCTCCTGCGCCGCGGCCACTAAGACACGCTCGGAGCGCAAGCCAAGCCTGGGCGATGGGTTGAGGGCTTATAGGGCTTCAGGACTTAGGGCTCAAGGCCTAGAGGGCTTAGGCTTCAGGCTTAGGGCTTAGGGCTGAGGGTTTTAAAGGGTTTAGGGTTAAGGGTTTCGGGCTTTTTTTTCGGGCTCCCTACTCCAAACCTCCGATCTGACCATCCTGACCCTCAAGCTGCCATTCTGTCCGTCGGGTGACCCTAAACCCTAAGCCCTGAACCCTAAACCCTAAACCCTGCACCCTAAACCCTAAACCCTAAGCCTAAACCCTAAACCCTGCACCCTACACCCTACACCCTAAACCCTAAACCCCAAACAGACTTGCACGGCATTCAAATTTCGAGAGCCCCCGGATCGTCATTGACAAAGGGCGACTTTGTGGCACGTTGGCCTCAACGTTCAATGACTTAGTGGGCAATGTCTGTGAATGGGCAGGGGAGCGTTGCACCCTGAAAACCCTCAAGGTGCCCAGAGAAGAAGACGTGCTCGCCTCCTTCTCCCTGAAGTGTCTCACAGCCCTTTAACAACAAGTTGCTCGATTCTGGCTGTCCTGCCAGTGCGGGTTTAGGGTGCAGGGTGGACCTGCAACAGTTGCTTAATCAACCAAGCTAAGCCCTGAACCCTCAAAAAAAAAACAAGAGATCGCGTGTATTCGCCCCTGACTCTTAGGTGAAGGGTTGTGAAGCTCAAGCCCTCGAAGCCTAAACCCTGCACCCTTAACCCTTCTTGGAGGTTCAGGGTACTTAGCAACCCAATCATAAGTGTAGTTTTAACCCACTCATAAACCCCTCAAGTACCCTAACAGGATTAGAATTGGGTTCTAAGCACAGTTATAAGTGCGTTACTAAGTGCCATGAACCCTAAACCCTAAACCCTAAACCCTAAACCCTAAGCCCTAAGCCCTAAACCCTAAACCCTAAACCCTAAACCCTAAACCCTAACCCTAAACCATAAACCCTAAACCTCCAAGCAAACCCGGATTAGTCCGAGAATCTGCGAGTCAAAGAAGGCAATCGGCTCCTTCTGGAGGAGAGCAACGTCCTGGTGACAGGTCCGGATTCAGATCGGGGCCTTCCTTAAAGAATAGGGAGTTTAGGGGTTTTGGGTTAGGGACAAAGGTTTAGGGTTTAGGGTTTAGGGTTTAGGGTTTTAGGGTTTTAGGGTTTAGGGTTTAGGGTTCTAGGGTTTAGGGTTTAGGGCTTATTTTGGAGGAATGCAGGGGTATCTTCGGGGTACCGCCTATTTGGCGAAATGCTCATAGCTGTCTCTGCCCATTGCTCGCAGCTGGACAGCTGGGGCCGAACAGGCGAGCGACTTGCCTCACATCTTTTTTCCGCACGACTGAAGAATATTTCAGAATACATTAAAATCTGGGGGGTTCCCGAAAGTAGGGGTACCCCCTACATATACCCCAACATACTACTGATCCTACGAAAGGAACCCCAAATTAGGGTACCCCTATCTTCAGAAACCCCCCACTTAAAACCTAGGGAATCCTGATTCCTGATGTTCAAGAGGAACCTTGTGGCGCCCGCAGGCTCAAAGCTCTTTGTGGCTGCCATTCTGGCTCACTTGCATGAAGTGAACCTATACTGATCTTGGAGGCCCTCACAAACATGATCACATCTTAGCTGCTCCTTCGACTTCGAGCACCCAAAAGTTATGTAAAAGTTATTCCCAAAGATCCAAAAAATTCTGCAAGAGCTACTCCCAAAGATCCAAAATTAATTATGTAAAAGTTATTTTCCCAAAGATCCCCAAAAGGAACGGGGTCCGACTCCCAGGGCCCTGAGATCAAGCTGTGCTTCAGCTTCTGTTTCGCCTCCCACTAAGAAGGTTATACCTGTTATGGACATAGTTACCCTACTTATAGCCCTACTTGTAAGCGCCCATGAACCTCCAAGTAAGGTCCCAAAACCCTAAACCCTAAACCCTGAACCCTAAACGCAGGTTTTCAGAGGAACGGAGAAGGCTCCTGAGGGTCGGCCACTGCGCGCAAGCGCCTGGAGCGGAGGGTAACTTCAGAACATGGCCAGGTGCCCTAAACCCTAAACTCTAAACCCTAAGGGTTTAAAACTTTTGGGGGCCCAGGGTTTAGGGTGTAGGGTTTAGGGATCTGGGGTGGGGTACCCTAAACCATAAAAAAAACCCTAAATACGCCCTCGTGAAGGTTCTATCAGTCGTCCAAGCACCCTTGCACAAGGAAAATCGGCAGACCGGGCGTTTTACCGCATCACTTTGTTCCCAAGCCCGTCACCCTGAAACCGAAACCCTTCGGCATGTAGCAACAACGCCGAATGCCGGCGAGCACCTACAGGAGTTCGGGTTTGGCTTGGTTTGGGGTTTAGGGTTTCGGGTTTCGAGTCTACCTCTCTAAATCCCTAAACAGATCCCCGCCCCCCAATCCCTCCAATCCCCTCGATTAACTGTAGATCCTAAACGTACCCTAGATCCTAAACTTGGGATGTTCCCCCATTATACTAACAGTCCTTAATAGGGAGTATCACAGGGGGTACTCAGGGGGTACGATAATCCCTATTCAATTCAGGACTGTTACTCTAAACCCTAAACCCTGAACCCTAATTAAACCCTAAACCCCGAACCCTAAACCCTCCCCCCGCAAGCTGCCTGAAGTCCACGAAGCTGCCCCGCACCCCCTCGCGGCCAACGCAAATCCTTGGCTGCACTTAGGGGAAAAGGTAGCAAAAAACTAAACTTTTAGCTGCCTTATTAAGAAACCCAGTAAACCCAAAAAGGCTAAAGATCTAAAGTTACAGTAAAGTACCACAAAGAATCGACAGGGCAAAGCTGGGCACCGACTTCTCCGGCCTGGCAACGGGCAACATTTCGTTGAGGGAGGGTGGGGGGGGGGGGGGGGGGCTCTTAGGGGGTTTTGGGGGGGTTTAGGGTTTCGGGTTTAGGGTTTAGGGTTCAGGTTTTAGGGTTTAGGGCTTTCGGGCTTAGGGCCGCTATGTTTGCCGTCCCTAACAAGGGCCTAAGCACAATCAAACTATGAGTATAGGGGGTGACAGTGGCCCAGAGATGTTTTAAAGCATTTTGGGGCCTTGGTGGCTTGGGGGGATTCGAGGGTTGAGGGCTTAGGAGGCTGAGGAGGCTGTTTTTCCCCACTTTCGGTGTGCGGTTGTTAGATTTTAAACTCAACTCTTCTCCTCGCCCGGAACATTTCTCCTCACCCGGAACTCTTCTCCTTGCCCAGTCTACGCCTCGCTCATCCCTGGAGTGCCCAACCCCAAAGTGTTTCTGGAGTGCCCAACTCTAGAGTGTTCTTGGCGTGCCCAACCCCAGAGTCCCCCTGGAGTGCCCAACCCAAGAGTGTCTCCGGAGTGCCCAACCGCAGAGTCTCCCTGGAGTGCCCAACCCCAGAGTCTTCCTGGCTCTCCCAGGAGTGCGCAACCCCCGGAGTGCCCAGCCCCAGAGTTTTCCTGCAGTGCCCAACGCAGAGTAAACCCTAAACCCGAAACCATAAAACCCTAAACCCTAAACCCCAAACACCAAACCCTAAACCCTAGACCCTAAACCCTAAACCCGAAACCCTAAACCCTAAACCCCCAACCCGCTCCCACCCAATTGCGCAGGCGCCTGAAGATGCGCCGGGGAGCGTCGAAGCTGGGGGAGCTCCGCCCGTCACGATGCCATGCCGCCGCCTCGGAGGCCTGGAGCTGTTTCTGTAAGGGCCGTTTGGGGGTTCATTCCCCCATTGTATGGGCTTAGGGTTGAGGGTTTCGGGTTTAGGGTTTAGGGGGGGTTTAGGGGTTGGGGTTTTAGAGGTTTAGGGGGTTTAGGGGTTTAGGGGTTAAGGCTGTTAGGGTGTCGGGTTTAGGGGTTTAGGGTCTAGGGCTTCTGGTTTATGGGGAGCTTGAAGGTCAGTCTTCACAGGGAAAAACCACGTTTGGGAGAAAACCCTGTGCCGCGGGAAGTCTGGTTTACAGGGTTCGGGCACTACGATTTCATGGGACCCTAAACCCTAAACCCGAAACCCTAAACCCTAAAACCCTAAAACCCTAAAACCCTAAAACCCTAAAGCCGAAACCCTAAACCCTAAAACCCTGAAACCCTGGCCTGGTCCACCTCGTGCACGAAGACATTGGGATCCTTTGAAGGTGAATTGGGCTTGGGGTTCGAGGGTTTAGGCATAGGGTTCAGGGTTTTAGGGTTTTAGGGTTTAGGGTTTAGTTTAGGGTTTAGGGTTTAAGGTTGAATTAGGGTGTAGGGTTTGGAGTTCACGGAATTCAGGGCTTTGAGGCTTTGAGGGCTGAGGGCTTGGTGAGATCGGATGTAGTGGACCCTAAACCATAAACCCTAAACCCTAAACCCTAAACCCTAAACCCTATTCTAAAGGCTTGGAGGTTCTTGGGGTTCAGGGCGCCCGGGGTGGCCTCGTCGCCCAGGAAGTAGGTGCTGGCTTCAAGCAGGCCAAGGACGCCCAGCAGGGAGGCCTCTTTTTTGGGGGGTTTAGGGTTTAGGTTTTCGGGTTTAGGGTTTAGGGTTTAGGGTTTGGGGCTTAGGTTTAAGGCTTAGGTTTGGGTTTCGGGGTTCTAGGAGCTTTTGGATTTTCGGTTCTGAGGGGAGCAAGTCCAAGTCGGGCGTTGATGGGCTTTATGATTTGTGGCTTGGGTTTAGGGTTTAGGGTTTAGGGTTTAGGGTTTAGGGTTTAGGGTTTAGGGTTTAGGGTTTAGGGTTTAGGGTTTAGGGTTTCGGGTTTAGGGTTTAGGGTTTAGGGTTTAGGCTTTAGGCTTTAGGGTTTAGGGTTTAGGGTTTTGGGTTTAGGGCTTAGGGTTTAGGGTTAGGGTTAACTTTAAGGGTCCTGAGGTTTAGGGTTGCAGGCACCCTAAACCCTAAACCCTTGAGGGCCCTGTGACATCAGACCTTTCGGGCTTAGGGTTTGGGCGGTCCTGGGGTACTTAGTAACCCAATTTTCATTGCACTTATATTATCCCAACCATGACCCTATTAGGGTTCTTAAGGGGCTTATAAGTGGGTGAGAACTACACTTATAATTAAGTTATAAGTGATAAGTACCCTGAACCTCCAAGTAAACCCTAAACCCTAAACCCTAAACCCCAAATGACCCCAAACCGCACGACCTGAGAGAACACCTTGAGAAACCCCAAGGCTTCGCAAGCATTGGGTTTAGGGTGTAGAGTGTAGGGTTTAGGGTTTAGTTTAGGGTTTAGGGCCTCAAACCCTCCAACAACCTCTGAAAGCCCTCGAGCCCCTCGGGTACCTTTCCGGGGGTCCCATTACGGGGATTCTATTCGTGGTATTAAAGGGGTACCCCTCTTCGGGAAATACCCACTGGCGGCTCTTGGAACTCTGCGTATCGCCAGCCGGGACTAGTTGCAGGTTTTTGTGGCGCTCGACTTTGGATGTTTGGGATGCTAAAGCCAGCTCTAGGCCCTAGGCCCTAGCCCCTAAACCCTAAACCCGAAACCCTAAACCCTACACCCTAAACCCTAAGCCCTAAACCCTGAACCCTAAAACCTGAACCCTGAACCCTAAACCCTAAACCCTAAACCCTAAACCCTAAACCCTAAACCAAAACCAGGACGTCGGCAAGCCCGGCCTCTGATTCGATGCGGCGCCGCGCCGTAGGCGTCTCGACAGGGAGCCCCCGCACCAGCACCTGGTGTGGGTTTGGGGTTTAGGGTTTAGGGTTTAGGGTTTAGGGTTTAGGGTTGAGGGTTGAGGGTTGAGGGGAGTTCGGAATTTAGGGCGCTTCAAAGGTTGGAGAAAGAGCAGGCGCCCCACAAAAAGTAGTTTCGTGAGGCCAAAGTGCCCGAGAAGTGTCCTGGTGAGGTTCAACGACACAAACTTGCAGACCCGGAACCCCCCCCTATAAGCACGAAACCATATACACCCTGCGGCCCTGCGCCCTAAACCTTAAACCCTAAACCCTAAACCCTAAACCCTAAACCCTAAACCCCTAGCTTCCTCGAGCTCCTTAAAGTCGTACATGGCTTTGGGAACCCTTAAAGCCCTCAAGCCATGAAAGCCCTGAGCCCCAAAAGCCCAAACACCCTCTTCAGATTTACGGCTTAGGGCTTAGGGCTTACAGGGCTTACAGGGCTTATAGGGCTTATAGGGCTTAGGGCTTAGGGCTTAGGTTGATGCTTGAGGCGGTTGAGGGTTAAGGGTTTAGGGTTGAGGGTTTAGGGCCAGGCCCCTCCCCTGGGCCATGGCTTCAAGGGGGTAAGGGAGGCATGCCGGCGCGCCACGGACGCCGACCCCGTCGGCGCGCTGAGACTCGCCAAAGCCGATCGGAGGTTCAAGGGCCTTCGAATTCTCTTCTTGAGGTTTAGGTTTAGGGCTTAGGGCTTAGGGCTTAGGGCTTAGGGCTTAGGGCTTAGGGTTTAGGGTTTAGGGTTTAGGGTTTAGGGTTTAGGGTTCTAGGGTTCTAGGGTTCTAGGGTTTAGGGCTTAGGGTTTGGAGGTAAGGGCTTTTTGAAATGCTGGGATTTGCCAAGCTGTTGATGGTGCTCGTGCGTGGCGTTTGGCACTGTAGAGACGAGAACAGTTAGCGGGATCAGATCTCTACGATGCCTGACCCCTACTGAAAACCCTAAACCCCAAACCCCAAACCCCAAACCCCAAACCTACATCATTAGGCAGCCGTCTTGCAGATCGCCAAGCAGCTGGAATGGAAAGACCCGCAGCGCTTCCTCGCTTACGGCGTGGCACTCTCTGTGTTCACAAACCCCTATATATGGGGTTTAGGATTAGGGTTTAGGGTTTGGGGTTTAGGGTTTGGGGTTCAGGGTTTAGGCGTCTAACCCCTTAATACCAAAAAGCTTGCAGAAAGGTGGACAACGATCTCCTTGTGAGTGTCGAATTGAGGCTTTAGCCCCCAGCGTTCCATACTTCAAGGCTGCCATCCGCCGATTGCACCACCCAGAAGGCCACCTCAAAACAACCCTAAAACCCGCAAAACAAGGAACTGTAAGAACAACCCTAAGAACCCTAAAAGCGCCACAAACCCAGAAGAACCCCAAAAACACCGCAACTCCAAAACCTTAGAACACTTTTTGGGGCGGATCCTTCTTGCACTCAGACCGTCAACCCTAAACCCTAAACCCAAACCCTAAACCCTAAACCCTCAACCCTCAACCCTCAACCCTCAACCCTAAACCCTAAACCCTAAACCCGCTTGAACCCATCGTCCTTTGCCGCGCTCTCCACGGAGTCCTCCAAACCAGGAACTTCAACAAATGCCAAGCTGTGGGCTTAGGGTTTAGAGTTCTAGGGTTTAGGGTTTAGGGTTTAGGGTTTAGGGTTTAGGGTTTAGGGTTTAGGGTTTAGGGTTTAGGGTTTAGGGTTTAGGGTTTAGGGTTTAGGGTTTAGGGTTTAGGGTTTAGGGTTTGGGTTTGGGGTTCAGGTTTAGGGTTTAGGGTTCATGGTTTAGGATTGGTTTAGGCTTCGCAGACCCGGCAGACGTGTTGGGCTTCGGCGACCATGCTCTTCGTGACCCCTAATCCCTGAATGCTGAACCCTGAGCCCTGAACCCTAAACCCTAAAACCTACAATAAACATGGGCCCTTGTGGTGTGTGGGACGACAAGGGCTGTGCCCCAGCCCGTTGACGAATCTGGCAGGGGAAAGCCCTTTTGTGATATTCCCCCCCCCCCCCCCCCCGCTCCCAAGACCCCGGCCTCCAGATCTGGTGGTTTAGGGTTTAGGGTTTAGGGTTTAGGGTTTAGGGTTTAGGGTTTAGGGTTTGGGAGTTGGGAGTTGGGGGTTGGGGTTTGGGGTTTGGGGTTTGGGGTTTGGGGTTTGGGGTTTTGAGTTTAGGGGTTTTGGGTTTCAATAGGGGTTGCGAGTTGCTGAGTATGCTGGGTGCCCTGGCCCAAAACAGGTTAACCTCTCAATTGTATAGTCCCCCCCAATAGGTTAAAGGTTGTCTACTCAGCTCCTAAGGGTTTGAGGGTTTAGGGTTTGATCAGTCACCTTCTGGAGGTCTCAGCATTCCAAAAGAGTACCGGCCATTACGGTCACGGGCCCTTTGAGCTTCACTATCCTCTGCACCTGGTCGTCTTCTTCGCGTTCAAAAGCACCGGCGAATGCCATGTGGTGATGGGGGGGGCTCAACAAGGGCCCTTCAGCGTAGGCTTTAGGGTTTCGGTTTTGGGCTTGGGGCTTTGGGGGTTAGGGTTGGTGTGAGGGTTGCCCCAGACACCCCTCCACCCAGCCCCGTTCTGGGTGGCGGGGCTTTCGAGGTTTTAGGGTTTTAAGGTTTTGGCCGCCTCGGTGGGGTTTTGGGTTTGGGGCTTTCGCCACTCCTCGTCCCCCCTGTGTTGTGGTGGTGGGTGCTGTGGGGCTTTAGGGTTTCTTTGAGGGTTTAGGAACCTGGAAGGATACCATCAACGGCTGCTGTACCCTAAACCCTAGACCCGAATGCCGTTAGTACCTTAAGCCCCGCGTAACCCCAATGGAATCCGAAACCCTAAACCCTCAAACCCTAAACCCGAAACCCTAAACACTAAACCCAAAAGCCCTAAACCCATTTCCGGAAACCCTCAACCCGCCCAAAGGTCCTGCGATCTCACCCGCCGGAAGATCCTCTGGAGCATGGACCTGTCAAGGACGAGTTCATCTCCCGGGCTTCCCATGAAAAATTGGTTTTATATGTATGGTTTGGGGTTTAGGGTTCAGGGTTCAGGGTTTAGGGTTTAGGGTTAGGGTTTAGGGTTTAATAAGGTAACAGCGCCTGGAGTCTTAGGGTTTAGGGTTTAGGGTTTAAGGCTTATGGAGACCAGGGTTCAGGTTCTAGAGTTTGGGGCAGTTGTTGATACACTATTTGTAATTGAAATAGCTCCCTCAACTCTAAACCCTAAACCCTAACCCCTAAAAACTAAACCCTAAAGCCTAAAGCCTAAAGCCTAAATCCTAAAACCTCAACCCTAACTAAAGCCTAAAGCCCAAACCCTAAAAACTAAAGCCTAAAGCCTAAAGCCTACAGCCCAAAGCCTGAAGCCTAAAGCCTAAAGCCTACAGCCTAAAGCCTACAGCCTAAAGCCTACAGCCTTAGGCCTAAAGCCAAAACCCTAGCAACTGTGAGGTTTGTACCTTCTGGCTTTGGGGGCATCCGCGCTCCGCGATTAATCGGGGCAGAACCCGGCTCCTTGGGGACGAGATGGTTTAGGGTTTAGGGTTTAGGGGTTTAGGGTTTAGGGTTTAGGGTTTAGGGTTTAGGGTTTAGGGTTTAGGGGTTGGGTTAGGGTTTGGGGTTTAGATTTTAGGGTTTAGGGGTTAGGGTTTTATCTTTTCAGGTTTAGGGTTTAAATTGGTATCATGTACCGATGTACCCAAAAAGCACTACCGTACATAATCCCTACGAGTAGGTCTATATGAGCCCCTACAACCTTCCAAGGTTCATTTGGGCCCCAAGGCAGTATTTTTCTGGAATCATGCTCGCTTGCTCATGCTTTTGCGTATACTCGTGATCGGGAAATACTACTGGAAGAAGTGGGGAGTTTTGGGGTCTTCTGCGCCTAAACCCGAAACCCTAAACCCGAAGCCCTAAACCCTAAACCCTAAACCTTAAACCCTAAACCCTAAACCCTAAAACCCAAAACCCTAAACCCTAAACCTGCGGTGCGTGTGTGCTTCAAGCTTGAGGACAAGATCTCCTATGCCCGGCCCCCCGCCTTGCACGCTCCTCCACCACCACTTCGGGCGTTGGCTGGAGAGACTGCCGGGTGGGAGCACTTGGGTTCAGGGTTTAGGGTTTCGGGTTTATCTCGAAGTAGATTCCCCCTAGCTTTTAGGGTTTAGGGCTTAGGGCTTAGGGTTTAGTGTTCAGGGTTTAGGGGTACTTGGCCGGGGTTATAGATGAAACTTTTCAAAAGGCTCCAACCTCATCTGGGGCTCTCGTCTTTAACCCTGTTTGCAACTAGCCGTGAACCTTCAAGCGCAAGTCTTGCGGGAGGGGTTCAGGGTTCAGGGTTCAGGGTTCAGGGTTCAGGGTTCAGGGTTCAGGGTTTAGGGTTTAGGGTTTAGGGTTTAGGGTTTAGGGTTTAGGGTTTAGGGTTTCCGATACTACCGCTGCCAGGGCCTCAACATCTGGTGGGAGCTTCGGCGGTGCCTTCGCCAGACACAGCGTCCTCCCAAACCGATTTGTGTTAGGCTCCTCTCCACTTAGGGTTTAGGGTTTAGGGTTTTTAGGGTCTGGATTTAGGGTTTAGGGTTTAGGGTTTAGGGTTCAGGGTTTAGGGTTTAGGGTTTAGGGTTTAGGGTTTAGGGTTTAGGGCAAACAAGACACATCTGCCACCGATGTCCTGATCTCGGTGTACTGGTTCAAGTCCTGCTGCCGGGGCCCTTATCCCTAAACCTTCAGCCCTATAGATCCCGAACCTTAATTAAGCACTAAACTAAACCCCAAGCCCTAAGCCCTAAGCCCTAAACCCTAAACCCTAAACCCTAAACCCCAAACCCTAAACCCTTATCTCTTAACCCTCAGAGCATGGGGGGGCTCCTTCGGTTTCCGAGGGCTGATCTGGGAGTTTTTCGTTCTCACGGTGATGGGCGCGTTGCGTTGAACTTCGGAACCGCGTTTCAAGGTCTTTGGTCTTCTGCTTCTCATTGCTTTGGGGTTTAGGGTTTAGGGTTTGGGGTTTAGGGTTTAGGGTCTAGGGCTACAGCACACACTCGGGTTCCAGGAAGCCACCTGCTCCCCAAGGTCGCCAGCACGGCCGATGCCAGACTCGTCGATACCACCAAACCTTGGGTGAAGACCCTCCGGTTTAGGGTTTAGGGTTTAGGGTTTAGGGTTTAGGGTTTAGGGTTTAGGGTTAGGGTTTAGGGTTTAGGGTTTAGGTTTTAGGGTTCCGGTTTCCGTAGGGTTTAGGGTTTCTCGATTTCTCGAGGGCTTGGAGCTTGGGTCTAATTAAGGTTCAGGGTTTGGGGGCTTTAGGCTTTCGGGACCGAATCCCAATTGGCACGTGCCGATCTTTTTCTGTGTGTTTTGCAAAGGGCCTTTGCAAAGTTCTGGAAAAAGGCCAAGGACGTCCGTGACCTCAAGGCAATGCCCATGAACTCTTGGCAAGCAGCGGAGCGTTTCGAATGAACTCGCAATGCTTGTTCACCCACACTGTTCCGGCCTGGCCGAGCGCAGCTTACGTAGGGAACCTCCCTTAAAAGGCCAATCGTATAACAACACAATAATATAGGAAGGATACACCCACTTCGACCCCAAACAACAATTAGTCGGAGACAAATCAAGATTGGGGGTTTCCGAAATTAGGGTTCCTTATTGGGGTACTGATCAATATTACTATTTGAGGGTCTGAGTCTAGATTAGGGGTCCCTTTTTTTCGTAGACCCCCGTATGATGAATGTGACGACAGCCCCAGCTGGTCGTTAGAGCATCCTGGGTGTGGGAGATATGTGGGAGACAAATTAGTAGCAGTGCCGTCAGAATCTTAAATGAACGTCAGATATTCCCCTTCTTCAAGCCAATCAAGATCCCCTCAGCACAAGCTGTTTGGGGAGCAGGTGAGAGAATACGAGAAGAATACCATTGGTGCCCCGAAATTTGATTTAAGGAATATTCCTGATTCCTGAATCAAGAAATCTTGGAGTCTACTGGTGCTCCCATCTCATCCTCCATCCGAGGCCCTGCCTTCAGCCGATTCGCTATTTCGTTGGCCTCCCAGGGAGCACTGCAACACCGACTCAACCGCGTCAAGACGCGGAGCACGAAACTGGGCACTCCATGCTCCCCCCCCCAAGGGTCCATCATCCCTATATGGCCAGGTCTCTAAATTCGGGTCCCTGTTTGGGTCCCCCAATTAAGTGGGCTTTTGTATAAGGATAATTATACCTGGGCCGTAAAGGGGTTGCCATTTTGTAGGCTTGAGGCCCAAGTGTATATGTAGGTACATGGACCCAAACGGCTTGGGGCCGAGCCGTGTCTAAGTCCTCGCTCCAGATCGATGCCGAGAGGCCATAGCCTCAGGAAGCCAGGCACAGAAGCCAACCGATGGGCTCCAACAGGCCTTTATTTCTTCTAGGGTTTTTTTTTAATTTAGAGGGCTTCAAGAGGAATATGTAAGCCCACTACTCCCGAACGCTCCCCAGGCTTCCCGAAGGTTCCCGAGGCACTTAACCCGCCTTGAACTCCCCTCCCTTCAGGAACCCTAAAATTTACTGAGGAGCACAAGGCGCGTTCCTCGGATCCCCATTGCTATTTCAGGTGCCCAGAAGAGGCCACGCGGAAGCCCCAGACAATCCTAAGGAACCGGGGTGTAAGGAAGGACCCATATGAGGGTTTCCGAAATTTGGGGTACCTTATTGCGGTCCTTATTAGAAGGGAATTCTATATTAGGGGTCCCTTCTCTTCGAAAACCCCCATATTCCCCTGAGAAGGCCTTAGCAACACCAAACCCTAAACCTTAAAGTTTACTCAGGGGCTGAATACCCTAGTCCAGAAAAGGCTAACCTTGTTTTGTGATAGGATTATATACAACCAGGAAGGTTAACCGCTAACTGCCCAGCCCTTGGGACGTTCCCCTCATACTAAGAGTCCCTAATAGACATTGTAGTACCCCCCACCCCTAGTATGCCTATTCAGGACTGTTAGGATAAAAGGCGAACATCCCACTAGAAATAATAAGGTTAACTACCCAGCCCCAAACCCTAAACCCTAGACCCTAAACCCTAAACCCTGAGCCCCGCTAAGCTTATAGTACAACATCTAAGGCGGCCCGAGGGCGCGTGGCATTGGCCCTCTGCACTGCCTCCTCGTCGTCCTGCACGCCGGCGGGGCTAACTCGAGACTTGAAACCCTACGAGTGTTTAGGGTTTAGGGTTTAGGGTTTGGGGTTTGGGGTTTAGGGTTTAGGGTTTGGGGTTTGGGGTTGAGGGCAGAAGTTACACATGGAGGTTCAGGGCACTTCGAACCCAAACTGTTCGTGTAGCTATAACCCCATACGTGCCCTTGTGGGGTGTATGAAGCCGTTGTTAGCACGGTCATAATTGGGCCAACAAGTACTATAAGCATTCAAGTAAACTTTCCCTAGAGTTGCTTGGAGAGTGTTGTCTGAGTTGCGGTCCCCTGTAGGGGTCCATTGTCATATGGAGCCCTATTTTAAAAGTATCCAAGAAGGGACCGCAATTTCAAGAACAGGCGACCTCTACACCACAGTTCTTGTCAAAGGTGCTTTGTTGCTTCAGGTATATAGCCCTAAAATCCTAAACTTAACAGGCTTCAGCAGGGCAAGAAAGCCAAGAGCCTCCCCAAAAATAAAAGGATAATCATCCTCATATTCTTATACGGAAGACTTTTTTTGGGGGGGGGATAACAGTAACCCTGAACCCTAAACCCTAAAGGCTTCAGCAGGGAGCAAAAAGCCGACAGCCTTGTGTATATTGATCCTAAACCCGAACCCCTAAACTGGCTTCAGTAGGGTTTAGGGTTTAGGGTTTAGGGTTTAGGGTTTAGGGTTTAGGGCTTAGGGGCTTAGGGGCTTAGGGGTTTAGGGGTCCAGGAGCCTTGTAGGACATCACCGGCACCACGGGGCCAAACTGCTCCTCGTCGACGAGCCGGGTGCCCTGCACAGAAGATTGGGAGCTTGGGAGTCTTGGGGTCTTGGAGTTAAGGGTTTAGGGTTTAGGGTTTGGGGTTTAGGGTTTAGGGTTTGGGGTTTAGGGCTTTGGGTTTGAGTTTTGGGTTTTGGGGTTTAGGGTTTAGGGTTTCGGGTGAGATCCTGCGAAGATGAAGACCTTGGTCAGTTCTCAACATTATGGTGCCTTCTTGGGGTGCCCTAAATGCTAGGGGCCGCCTTGTGATAGTAACCCGCAAAGGGTTTAGGGTTAATTAGGGTTTAGGGTTTAGGGCTTAGGGTTTAGGGCTTAGGGTTTAGGGTTTAGGGTTTATCTAGTCACCATGTGCCCCCCTTTGCGAATCACAGCGCGCCAGCCCGCGAGCCCGCCACAAAATGGCCTCCGCCACATCGACCACTATCGTGGGAAGGTAGAACAGGCCGGTGTTCGAGCCTTACAATCACCCACTGGTTCTTAGTAGTGAATGAGAGAATTCGGGAACTCATAAATACCCTTTAAGAAAGTATAGTTAGGGCCCCTAATTCCCCTCCTACTTAAGAGCTAGCCAGATCATGCCATAGTGCTTGGAGGTTCAGGGAAATTATAACCCAATTAGAAGTGTAGTTATAACCCACATCGAAGTCTCTACGCCCCTTAAGTACCCTAATTGGGTTGTAATTGGGTTCAAAGTACAGTGATAATTGGGTTACTAAATACCCCTTAACCTCTCAGTGGGCTCCTAAGCCGGAATCTCCCAAGACCGATCTGTGAGACGAAGCAACAACATGTGGGTTAGGGTTTAGGGTCTAGGGTTTAGGGTTTGGGGTTGCCAACGTAGGTGTAGCCTCAAAATACCACCAAAAATTCGCGAATCCTAATCCCCCCGCCCCCCCAAAAAAAGGGCTCTTCAGACAGATTCGTGGGGGGCAGGTACCTATAGGGAAGCTTAGGGAGCCGTAGGGCGTAGTGGGGAGTATTAGGGAACCTTGGGTTACATACCCCCCTCCCCAACTCGAAGGAAACGCCCATCTTGGCCCGCGTGAGGCTTTGCAGGTGGGCGGCCCTCGTCTCCGGGCGGGCCTGCAGTGGCCTGGGCATGCGGATCGCTGGCTTAAACTCTCAGGGGTTTAGGGTTTAGGGTTTAGGGCTTAGGGCTTAGGGCTTAGGGGTTTAGGGTTTAGGGTACCTAAACCCCTAGAAAAGCCTTCATAGTCGCCGCGGCTTTAAGCAGAGGAGGCTTTTTTGCCAGGGGTCAAAGAACCCTCTCCCTCTCTCTGCTGCCTTCACATCTTGGCAGCGCCGCCCTACTCAGGCTCTTGGAGGTTTGTGGTGCTTAGCTCTCCGAGGTCGAACCGTTTGCTAATTACCCTAAACCCTACCCCATGAACCCCATATTAAGGCCCCTACTCTAATAATGATTAACGCCCATCAACAACATGGCCCTTATGTTGCGTATTCTGAACCTCCAGGCTTCGCGTGGGAACAAGGCCACCGCAGGCCCATCTGCGGAAGTTTGGACAACGCTGCTATAAGTTATGACACAAATACTTTGAATCCTGTATCGAATCACGACATCGACAGATTGCACGGCATTGATGAAAGAATACCTGTAATGGGTTGGGTTCAGGGTTTTTCTAAGATAAAGTATAATATAATGCTTAACAAGGTCAGGAAACCAAAAGAACAAACGAGGATAGGAAAATTGCCTGAGAACGTCCAATTCAAAAACAAAATTACGAAGAGCATAAACAATTCATCTTATGAAATGATTCGTGGAATCGTAGAAACCGAAACAACGGCAGTGCCACAACCACAGTTGGAAAAACAAATTTCAAAAAATATTAACAATTTAAATCCTCATAAAAAGAATAATATTAATAAAAAAAATCTAATAAATAATATATAAGTTATGGATTTAGTCATTGCTGAAACACAGGATAATATGATAAATTCTTTACAGTTCGGACTTCCAGAAAGTGCATTCCGCTTCAGAAGGCTGAACAGGGGCTCTCCCGCAAGCTCTCACTTACACTGTGGGTTTAGGGTTTAGGGCCTAGGGCTTAGGGTTTAGGGCCTAGGCTTCAAGGATTCGGGTTCCTGGAAATTACGGCTCGGCTGCTGTCGCTTTTCGCATCTGCAGCCCGACCGTGCGGATTGCAGACTCCAAGGTGCAGGTCCCGTGGCTTGGGTTTAAGGTTTAAGGTTTAGGGTTTCGGGTTTGGGGTTTAGGGTTAAGGTTTAAGCTTTAAGGGTCTGGGAGGGGGGCCCTTTACTTGATCAGCAAACTGGCCTGGAGAGAGGGGGCCCGAGGGTATACGGTTTAGGGTTCAGGGTTCAGGAACCCTAAACCCTAAACCCTAAACCCTAAACCCTAAACCCTAAACCCTAAACCCTGTCTTGGACCCCGGACCCCGCCGCCACAGAGCACTCGGCCACCTTTACGCCGTGCATCCTCCCAGGGTTAAGGGCTTTCGGGTATTTAGGGCACTGTGGCTTTAAGGATTCAGGGCTCTGAGGGTTCACCAGGCTTTAGCTGACGGGTGTTCGGGCTGTAGGCTTTTGGACCGAAATCGTGGCTTACGGCCTTTAGGTTTGGAGCTTGGGGGCTAGCTGCCGCGGTGACTGCACATGAGCTACTCTGGAAAGCTGATTCCCTAAGGGTCCATGTACCTTATTATTATTATTATATACTTAGACCCAAAAGTCCTTATATAGGAAGTACTTTAAGGCCCAAGTATTCCATAATTAGGTACATGGACCCTTAGGGATTTATATATGGTGAAAGAGCCTGAAATTTCACAGTCGGACTTGTAGGGCTTGAAGAATGGGATTTAGTCAAATCTGACCGCAGGGCTTCAGTTTGAAGGAAGGCTCGCCTTTCCAAAACAACTGCGTTTGGATTCTTCGGGTTTAGGGTGTAGGGATTGGGAAGTAGTTAGGGTTTGGAGGGTACCAGGACTTGAGGGATTGGGGTTTATACGGTTTAGGATTTCAGGGTTGCGGGATTTGTGCGCCAAACATGTTGGATCAACCACCCTTTTGCGGGAGTTATGCTGTGGGCAGCCTCCACCAACTCCATAACATGACGAAGTTGGACTGCACTGGCCTTGGGCAGGCGACTAACGCATCGGCACGTACCACCTACCCACGGCCATAGCGTCCCAGAGGCTCTAATATCCCTCCCCGTGATTCGGAAATAATCCGTTGGTTGCACTTGGGATCAGAACATGGTTCAAACGCAATATTTCTCAATTGGTCTGCGGGATCTCAAGGAGGAGGTGCCTGTCCCAGTCAGGCACAGAAGGGACGTTAATTTGAGGACTCCACCATCCACACAAGCTGCTTCCAACAGCTCCTACGAGGTCATTCCAGCATAATCCTGAACTATAAACTCCAAAACCCCAAAACCCCCAAACCCTCAAAGTCTTACTGTTGGTTAGTAGGTAATGGGGGAATCAGGTACCATATATGCCCTATATACCCTTTAAGGGATTATATATGGTACCTTATTCCCCCATTCCCTACTAACCAACAGTAAGAAGTTCCCTCAACCCCTAAGCGGTCCCCCATAGCAAGGAACCCTAAACCCTAAACCCTAAACCCTAAATCCTAGGCCCTAAACCCTAAACCCTGAACCCTGAACCCTAAACCCTAAACCCTAAACCCCAAACCCTCAAGCCTAAACCCTAAAAAAACAGAAGATGCAGCCCCGCCGCCAACGGCCCAAGCTCCGTCCCGGAGGAGAGGCCGTTCCCCAACACCGCGCGGCGCGCGCGAGCCACAAAAGCCTGAAAGGGTTCAGGGTTTAGGGTTTAGGGTTTAGGGTTTAGGGTTTAGGGTTTAGGGTTTAGGGTTTAGGGTTTAGGGTTTAGGGTTTAGGGTTTAGGGTTTAGGGCAAGTCTCCCAGAGGGTACGAATAACCTGTAGTCATGGTTTTAGGTCCCAAAACCTTTAGGATTCTGGATTTTGGGACCTAGGTCCATGACTATATTTTTTTGGGGGGGGTTTCTCTGCAGTTTTTAAGGAAAGCGTTATTTTGTAAAATCTGGCAGGTTTTAGATCTTCTGGGGGTTAGGGAAGTTTTGTGGTTCGAGGTTTTGTAAGTCTAGGGCAGGTTCAGCCCTATACTCAGGGTGCCCAGAAAGGGAATGTAGAGAACGTCGGGTTTAGGGTTTAGGGCCTTAAGGCTTGCGGTTCCGACTGGCATCACGAGCTGCAGAAGGGGGAGGGGCCGCCTTCACGAACTTGTCGTAGATCTTCTCCTCGCAAAGGAGTTTTGCATGATTCAGGACTTCGGGCTTCTTGATGCGTTACAGGGCTTTGTAGGATTGTAGGGTTGTTTGGGGCCTTTCAGGCTTGCAGGCGCATTAAGGTCTATGTTTCTAGGGGCTTGGGGATTTTTGTTACAGGGGTTTTGCTAAGGGGCTACATGGGGATTGCAGTTCCTTGGGGGGGTGGACGTTGGAAATGCACCGTGTGTGAGTTGCACCTATGGCTATGGCCGTGGCCCGTCCTGCACGTAGATGCGCTTGGCTGCACAACAGGTCTGGCCATTGTTGAAGAACCTCACACGACTCCAAAGAGCTTGTTGCCACCTTGGGGGCCTAAACAGTTTTAATAGGGTTGCGGGGGGGTATTAAAATATATTCATAAAGGGACCACAAGGGAATATTGTGAGTACTTATTCCGACCCCTGCACTACAGACGGTGTCCGATTCGAACCTGTTGCCTTTTTGCAGCATCGGCTGGGTTCTCAAAATGCCTCGAAAGAGTTTCAGACTTCAACCTTCGTACTGCAATCAGAAGGAATCAATCAGAAGGCTCGTTTGATGAGCTCACACATCTACTTCCAATCCTGGAACCCTAAACCCTAAACCCTAAACCCTAAACCCGAAACCCTAAACTACTCCCACACCCAGAAGCCTAAAACTTCAAGCCCTGGTCTCCGCCCAGGGGCGCTCCCTTGAAAAGGCCTTCTGCTGCCTTCTCCACGTCACAGTCTTCGCGGACGATCCTGGAAGAGCACACGATCCCACCCTAAACCCTAAACCCTAAACCCTAAACCCTAAACCCTAAACCCTAAACCCTAAACCCTAAACCCTAAACCCTAAACCTCACCTTCAACTTAGAACCCGGAAACCCAGTCACGTCGCAAACTTCACCTCGCATGGCAAGCCCGCATCATCCGAGACGCAGGCTTTGAACCCGAGTGAAAGCCTTGAAGGGTGTACGGTTTAGGGTTTAGGGTTTAGGGTTCCGGGTTTAGGGTTTAGGGTTGTACGGTTCAGGGTTTAGGGTTCCGGGTTTAGCCCTGAAAGCCCGAAAACCACTCCAAAATGCCAACGAACCTGCGCCATGGACACCCAAAAGCCCGAAAGCCTTAAGCCCAAGCCCGCAACCCTTGCCCAAAACCCTGAAACCCTAAACCCGAAACCCTGGACCAAAACCTGAAGTCCTATAGCCTTGCAGCAGGGAGTCGCGGGGTCGTTGCCTGGGCAAGGCCCTAGCCCTAATGGCTGTAGTTTTTTGAGTTGTGGTTTGAGGGTTTAAGTCTTAACTTAAGATTGGGGGGGGGGAGTTGTGGTTTGAGGGTTTAAGTCTTACCTTCGGATTCAGGGGGGGGGGGGGGGGGGGGGGGGAATGCATCTGGGAACCTCCGAAACTTAGGGGTACCCTTTGTGGAGTTCCTGGTTCCTGGAATCAGGATTATCCTTTTTGGGGGTGTGCAAGGGGTGGCTGCGGCGGTGGTGGGCAGATGGGTAGGGGGTGGGCAGTAGATACCGACTTGCACGGGATTATGCCCTAACGTTGGCCAATTAATAGCTAAATATTCTTCATGTATTATACAAGTCATTATGGTAGGTTTAGGGTTTAGGGTTTAGGGTTTAGGGTTTAGGGTTTAGGGTTTAGGGTTTAGGGTTTAGGGTTTAGGGTTTAGGGTTTAGGGTTTGGGGTTTGGGGTTTAGGGTTTAGGGTTTAGGGATTGCAGAATGAATACCATCAATGATAACTATCATGTAGGGCCTGCTCCTTGACTCCAATACCCCCTCAGATAAGGTTTAGGGTTTGATAGGGCTAAGGGTTTAGGGTTATCTCCTTTTCTTCAACAATTGATCTCAAGTCTGAGTAGAATTTGAGACTCTTCCCTGATCATGGGGTATTGAAGCCTTTGATATGCATGGTAGTGCGGACAACAGTTCAGCATCCGTTGCGATTGCTCTGGTGACCAAACCCTAAACCCGCAGGTCCTCCGTGAATTTGCTGGGACTATCCCAACTTCGACGGCCTAAATCGAGTTTCCTCTGCGCAGGGCCTGAGATCTCACCTATCATACCAGCGGGTGGCACTTGGAAACAAACCGTAGACCCTACACCCTGCACCCTACACCCTCCTACACCCCAAACCCTAAACCCTAAACCCTAACCCTAAACCCTACACCCTACACCCTACACCCTACACCCTAAACCCTAAACCCTAAACCCTAAACCCTAAACCCTAAACCCTAAACCCTAAACCCTCCCCCCCCCCCCCCCCCCAAAAAAAAAAAAAAAAAAGGATTCGCCTCCCAGCTCCAGGAGCAGCCGCTTGAAGCCTTTGGCACATGCCTCCATGACCTGCGGCTCAGGGCTTCTTGGGGTTTTGGGTTTTTAGGGTTACGAGGTATGGGTGTAGGGTTTAGGGTTTAGGGTTTAGGGTTTAGGGTTTAGGGTTTAGGGTTTAGGGTTTAGGGTTTAGGGTTTAGGGTTTGGGGTTTGGGGTTTGGGGTTTGGGGTTTGGGTTTGGGTTTGGGTTTGGGGTTTGGGGTTTTGGGGTTTGGGGTTTGGGGTTTGGGGTTTGGGTTTGGGGTTTGGGGTTTTAGGGTTTAAGGGCTTGAAGTTCAGGGTCTGGGGGCTTGTTTTGGGGGGGGGGGGTATGAAATTGGGGAGGGGGGGGGGGGGCGGGGGTCAGCGGTCTTCTTTGTTTTCAGAGCTTGGGATTGGATCTCACCCTAAACCATCCTGAGCCCTGAACCCTGAGCCATTCAAGCCTCACCACCTAGCACCCTGAAGCCTATGCACTATACACCCGAACAAACAACTCCCACGCCACACCCCAGTCCATTGCGCTGGTACTGGAAGCCCCCAAACACCCCCCCCCCGAACCCCAAACCTTGATCCTAAAGGGTTAGGGTTTAGGGTTTTTAGGGTTTAGGGCTTAGGGTTTAGGGTTTAGGGTTTTTTTCCTTCCTTCCAAGGTAGATGTCTTGAACTTGAGGAATACCTTCAACCCTAAACTGGCCCTAAGCCCTACGCCCCCCAAAAAGTCCGCAAATCCACTCTCAATCACCCAAACCCCAAATCTCCTTAACTTCCCCCAAAACAACCTGCACAAAAAAAGAAAATGCTCTTGAATACACGAGCCCCCCCCCTCCAAAAAACAAAAAATAAAATAACAAATAAAGAAGAAGAAGAAGAAGAAGAAGAAGAAGAACACCCGGTAAACCCTGAACAACCACCCTTCAAACCCTAAACCCTGTAAACCCCAAACCCTCAACCCTACACCCTATAACCCCTAAACCCTAAACCCTAAACCCTGAACCCTAAACCCTAAACCCTAAACCCTACACCCTATAAACCCTAAACCCTCAACCCTACACCCTATAAACCCTAAGCCCTCTTTCAGGAAAAGACACGACACAACCCTCGGAATCTCCGGAGCGACCGCCTTGCTGCCAATGGCAGTGGAGCCAGTAAAGACCACTTTCCGCACCTTCGGGGCGGGCGTGGGGAAGAACAGGGTTTAGGGTTTAGGGTTTAGGGTTTAAGGTTTAGGGTTTTGGGTGCAGGGTTTAATGTTAACGTCGCTTTAATAAACCCCCCCCCCCCCCCAAAACTTGTTTTGGTCCCCGGGGTTTGGAGGGGTAGAAAAAAACGAGTGGGTGCCAATAATGCGGATTCTGGGGGGGTTAGCTGTCAGGGTCTGCTGTGCTTGGTCTCGAAGGGTTCTGCTTGCTCGCGGAGCTCGAAAAGTCTTCTCTGCAGGTAAAATTTCTGATTCCTGGCCGGCCAAATATTACTGTTGTCACCCCATTATTATTTTCACCGGACCCCCCTATATAGACTTGTTTACACACATCGGCCCGAAAACCTCCCGTAATGGAAAGTAGTCTTCGGCTGAGCCCCTCTGGCCCGGCGAATATTACAGTTGCCACCCCATTTATAGATGTGAGGTTAACATTAGGGTTTAGGCTTTAGGGTTTCAGGCGTTCAGGCGTCCTCGTGGGGGTTGTTGGGGTGTTTTCTTTGTTTTGGCTGCCTCTTGTTTTCCTGCTTTTACTCAGATTGTGTTCGGCTTCTTGAGTTTTGTTGGGGGGCTTGGGGGTGCTTTGGAGGTCTGTTGGCCCTAAACCCTAAACCCTAAACCCTCATGCCTCAGCCTGCACCTTTCACCACTGCAGGCAAGGCACGAGCTCGTGGTTCGTGAGGATCTCCCCAGGCCTCTGCCAGCCGCAGCTGTGTTTAAGGTTTAGGGTTTAGGGTTTAAGGTTTAGGGTTTAGGGTTTAGGTTTTAGGTTTTAGGTTTTAGGGTTTAGGGTTTAGGGTTTCGGGGGTTTAGGGGCTTTCGGGGGTTTAGGGGCTTTCGGGGCTTTTGGGGTTTGGTGGTTTAGTTTGGGTAGCCCATCGCTTGTCCATGGCCACCTGCGTCGAGCTTCTTGTGGTTCGGGTTTAGGGTTTAGGGCGTGTTTAGGGTTTAGGGTTTAGGGTTTAGGGTGTAGCGTGTAAGGTGTAGGGTTTAGGGCTTCCATGCTGGAGAGAAAAACGCTGAAGAACAGGAGTGACAGGTGGCATTAGGTTCCAGAGCAAGAGCCCAGTTCCCGGGGTCTTTTGAGGCTTTTAACAGCATGGCTTGGCTGGGGAAGGTCCCTCTTAGACTAGCAGTCCTTAATAGGGTATTGTAGTACCCCCCAAGTTCCCTCTTATACTAGCAGTCCCTAATAATAGGGTATTGTAGTACCCCCCCCCCCCCCCATTTATAAATAATCCCTATGAAGGACTGCTAGTATAAGGGGGAGGCATCCTAAAGCACTTGTGGTCCCAGCAGGATAAGGTTCAGGGCCCCAGGAAAGCTTTCGCACCTAGCGGGCTCGAGAACTGAAACCCTAAACCCTAAACCCTAAACCCGAAACCCTAAACCCTAAACCTCCACACCATGAATCTGCCCGCTTCAGGCCTTGAGGCGTGCTCTGTGCCCAAAAGAAGCAGTTTTTCCACACGATTTCTGCTGCCCGCCACTGACTGAGGGTCGAGGACTTAGGCTTAAACCCTAAACCCTAAACCCTAAACCTATATGCTCTTTCAAAAATCCCAGGCAAAACCCCATCCCATGCCATTTCGGCAAGCCAAGGGGCTTCGGGTTGGAGAGGTCTGAGCCGACCACGACATTGAGCACCCCTGAGACATGGGCACAAGTGCCCTAAACCCTAAACCCTGAACCCCAAACCCTAAACCCTAAACCCTAAACCCTGAACCCCGAACCCTGAACCCTGAACCCTAAACCCGAAACCCTAAACCCTACTTTTGTTCTTGCTAAGGAACCTGCCTAAACCCTAAACCCTAAACCCTACGTAAACCCTAAACCCTAAACCCCTAACCTGTCTGATCAGGGTATTCGGGAATGCTTTAGATGGAGCCCTCGAAGGAGGCCCCATTTTGGAGGCCTCTAAGTCCGAGGTCTGGTGCTGGGGGCTGGCTGAGCTCCCTGGGCCCTTGAGAAGTCAGCCTCCCAGAAAATTCAGACCCCAACACCTCATTTCCGACTCCAAGAAGGGGCCTCTTGCAAGGGAATCTGAAAAGGCGATCCAAGTTTAGGGTTTAGGGTTTAGGGTTTACTTCCCCCACCAAGCTAAGTAAGGTCGTTGTCCCTTGCAAGGTTAGTGTTGAGCCAAAAAAACCTTCATCCCCAAGGCCCTATAGACTCTAAACTGCATAGAAACCTGCATCCCAAGCCCCCAGCCCCTGCCGATGTAACCACTGCATCCTTTTGTCGGGTTTAGGGTTTAGGGTTTGGGGTTTAGGGTTTAGGGTTTATAGGGCTTAGGGCTTGGGGCAGCTCCTCTTGCACCCCCAAACTCGAACCCCACCTCGAGGCAGAAGTGGTCGGAGGAGCTCACCAATTCGCAGCGTGGTCAGGGGCGTCTGCGGGGCCGGCTTCAGCACAACCTCGTGTGAGTTTTGGGGTATGGGGTTTAGGGTTTAAGTTTAGGGCTTAGGGCTTAGGGCTTAGGGCTTAGGGTTTAGGGTTTAGGGTTTGGGGTTTAGGGTTTAGGGTTTAGGGTTTAGGGTTTAGGGTTGTTGAGGCTTCAAGGTTTGGTGGGTTTGGGGATCGGGCTATGACGTGCAACGCTCTGCGGCTGCATAAATGTCGACAAGCATCAGGAGCTGCCTTGCTTACGCCTGTGCGAACAAAGCAATCAGTCAATGCACAACTGTTCCGAGGCGCCGGGTTTCCGCAAGCCAGTGCAGTGGCCGTCGGCTTCCAGCCGAGGACGATGGGAGCATTCCAAGGCCTTAACTCAAAGCCACACGATGGCAAGCTTTGGGGTTTAGAGTTTGGGGTTGTGTGGGGTTTAGGGTTTAGGGTTTAGGGAAAGCGCCCCTTGCAGGGACCTGTACTGGAGCCACCGTCAACTCCCAGCCACGGGGGGGCGGGGCCGAACAATCACAAAACACAAGCCGTCTTTGATTCTGATTGGCAAGCAGCGCAATCACTGCGACCACCCCCACGGGCATGCGGCGGATCACGACCTGTCAGAGGGCATGCTTCATAAGAGTCCGTAGGGGTCGGATTATGAATCATAGAAGCAGTCCCTCATCCTATACAGTTATCCTATAAGAACCCCCCCCAAAACCCTATTGACTAAGGCCCCTAATTAAGACAGCCACGGCAGTGTCTCCACGAGTCTTGTGGAGCCTTCTTCTCCTCATCCTCGGAAATCAACCGCTCCTGCACGCAGGCGACCGTAAGGGGGTTTCCGATATTCGGGATGCCTTCTTGGGGTCCTTACTATAAGGGGATCCTACTCTTTAGGGGATCGATTTTGAGGGTCCCCTATTTGCCGTAATCCCCCATAAGGCTTGGGGCACTTGATCCCCAGATGCAACGACAGACGCTGGGCCAGCACTTGGCCTGGCTGATGTCCAAGAAGCCTCACATTGAAGACACGCTCGCTGCGTACCGGTGTAGGAGTTGGGGTTTGGGGTTTTAAGGGGTTTAGGGACTTAGGGTTTTGGGTTTTAGGGAAGGGCCATCCATGCGAGCTCACCACCCCAACATCAAACCCTAAACAGGGCCCTACCCTGCCCTGCCCTACCCCTACCCACCATTACCCACCTTACCGACCTTACCCACCCTAAACCCTCACCCTCACCCTCACCCTAACCCTATCCCCACCAAAAACCCGAACCGCACACGAACTCAACCCAAACCCTACCCTGGCCCTGGCACGACGTAGCCCTGCGACCTTCGGAATGAGCAAGCCTAGCAGTGACTTAACTGAGGTCGCTGGCGGATGCATCTTCTAATGGCGTGCCCCACCCTAAACCCCAAACCCTGAGCCCTAAACCCACAGTGCAGGCCAGGTCGCGTGCAGCATTTTCAAAGGAAGCTGCAGCAACGATGACCTGTGAACCACGCAATAAGGGCATTTGCCAAAGTAGGGGTACCCGTTTTTTCGCCAAATAGTATAGAATCCCCTTAAGGGACCCCCCCCTAAACCCTAAACCATAGGTTCACGGCATGGCAACTCCGAAGGAAAAGCTCGAGCCTCCAGGCGCGTCTCGGCCAGCGGCCGGCCGCTTTCGTTCGTCTGCAGCGTGGCCAGCGCCTTCGTCTCACGCAAGCTTTCTCAGACTTTTTTAATGAAGCCCTCTTATTTCAGCCCCAAATCTTGGAGGTTCAGGGCCCTTGTAACCCAATTACAAGTGTAGTAATCCTACTTATCATATAAGACCCTGAAGTACCCTAACAGGGCTGTAACTGGGTTATAAGTACAGCTATAATTGGGTTGCTGACTACCACGAGCCTCCAAGTAGCAATCCCCAAACCATAAAACTCTAAGCCTGAACCCCAAACCTTAAACCCCAAAACCTTAACCCTATGGTGTGGGGGGGGGGGGGGCTTAGGGTTAGGGTTCTCAGCGTTTTCACCACCCTAAACCCTAAACCCTAAACCCTAAACCCTAAACCATGAACCTCCCAGTAAATTCCCAAGGAGCCTCCAGGTTCGCCCGAAGCGCGTCTGCACAGGACCTCGTGTGTGTTGGTTGGGGTTTGGGGTTTGGGGTTTGGGGTTTGGGGTTTGGGGTTTGGGGTTTGGGGTTTGGGGTTTAGGGTTTAGGGTTTAGGGTTTAGGGTTTAGGGTTTAGGGTTTAGGGTTTAGGGTTTAGGGTTTAGGGTTCAGAGGGCTCCGACGCCACCGTGCTCTTCAACCCTGAATCCTAAACCCAGAACCTCCCTAAACGTCCCTCGTTCAACCCTTTGACCCTTTAATCATCCCCATGAACCCTAACCCTAAACCCTAAACCCTAAACCCTAAACCCTAAACCCTAAACCCTAAACCCTAAACCCTAAACCCTAAACCCTAAACCCTTCGGCCGCAGCGGCTGCAGCATCGCCGCCCGCTCCGTGTGTCTCAAGGCCGCCCAGCCAGGTGCCGCGCGCGAGGCCGCGGCAGCGGCTGCCTGGAGGAGCTTCTTACTTGGGTTTAGGGTCTAGGGTCTAGGGTCTAGGGTCTAGGGTCTAGGGTCTAGGGTCTAGGGTTTAGGGTTTAGGGTTTAGGGTTTAGGGTTTAGGGTTGGTTTAGGGTTTATTTAGGGTTTAGAGGTACCAGTAGTTCATGGAGATACGAGTATGCTTCCAAGTGGTCAGAGTATGCAGCCCATCCTACACAACGCACCTCGATCATCTCCTTCGAGGCATTTGGTGCCACGCCGACCAAGTCCCTTAGGACAGGAGTATGGGAGGGGAAGGGAATACGCACGTGCATACGCTTCGGTTCGTTTTCTTTTTATTGTGTTTCCCTCTCTCCCTCCCTCCCTCCCCCTCCCTCTCTTCCCTCCCTCTCTTCCCTCTCTCTCTATCGCTCTCTCTCTCTCTCTCTCGCGCTCTCTCTCTGTCTCTCTCTCTCTCTCTCCCTCCCTCCCTCCCTCCCCAATGAGGAACTGCACATTGCTACGCAGCCCCGCGTTGGGTGCCTCAGAGGCCAAGAAGCAGACCACCGTTGATGCTCGTGATGCTGCGGCGGTGGGGCCCACGATACTCGTAGACATGCGGCAGGACTTTCGCATCCATTTGCGAACCGGGCATTGGCCCCAGCATCAGGAGCATCATTGGGCCTCTGTTTCTTCCCCATGCCCGGTTCGCAACTGGATCGGAAAGTCTTGCCGTGCGTCCATGAGCAATGCGGGCCCTGTCGCCCCAGCATCAGGAGCATCATTGGGCCTCTGTTTCTTCCCCATGCCCGTTTCGCAACTGGATCGGAAAGTCTTGCCGTGCGTCCATGAGCAATGCGGGCCCTGTCGCCCCAGCATCAGGAGCATCATTGGGCCTCTGTTTCTTCCCCATGCCCGGTTCGCAACTGGATCGGAAAGTCTTGCCGTGCGTCCATGAGCAATGCGGGCTCTGTCGCCCCAGCATCAGGAGCATCATTGGGCCTCTGTTTCTTCCCCATGCCCGTTTCGCAACTGGATCGGAAAGTCTTGCCGTGCGTCCATGAGCAATGCGGGCCCTGTCGCCCCAGCATCAGGAGCATCATTGGGCCTCTGTTTCTTCCCCATGCACGGTTCGCAACTGGATCGGAAAGTCTTGCCGCGCGTCCAATGAGCAATGTGGGCCCTGTCGCCCCAGCATCAGGAGCATCATTGGGCCTCTGTTTCTTCCCCATGCCCGTTTCGCAACTGGATCGGAAAGTCTTGCCGTGCGTCCATGAGCAATGCGGGCCCTGTCGCCCCAGCATCAGGAGCATCATTGGGCCTCTGTTTCTTCCCCATGCCCGTTTCGCAACTGGATCGGAAAGTCTTGCCGTGCGTCCATGAGCAATGCGGGCCCTGTCGCCCCAGCATCAGGAGCATCATTGGGCCTCTGTTTCTTCACCATGCCCGTTTCGCAACTGGATCGGAAAGTCTTGCCGTGCGTCCATGAGCAATGCGGGCCCTGTCGCCCCAGCATCAGGAGCATCATTGGGCCTCTGTTTCTTCCCCATGCCCGGTTCGCAAATGGATCGCGATGTCTTGCTCGTGCCATACGTTCGCTGGGCACCGATACGGTCTTAGCCCCTCGGAGCGAAGCGGAAGAGGACTCACGATGATGCAGTTTTCATTGCACAGTGGGGTGGCAGATGCGACCAGTGCCGGACTTGCATCCAAGGGCGGCAGACTCGCAAAACCGAAGTGCGTCGAAGCGTTTGACCTCGTTTGGGCCAGAGCGCTGCAAAGACTGTCGACTCATGAGCTCCCTACCCACTTCAAATGGGCGTCTGCGGCTCACAGCTCTTTGTGGCTGCCATTGCTGCTCACTTGCATGAAGTGAACAGGGTCCGAGCGCAGATCTTCCACATCTTGCGGAGTAAGCGGCCCTGGTGATAGCGAGTTGTGCCTCAGTTTGCGCTTGGCTGCCCACTTTTTCAATGCCCGGCGCCACTTCCAACGTTTTGGGTGCACTCTGCGGGTCCTGTAGTATGCCTTGGTCGTGGTTGAAATCTCGGTTGTGGCTGAAGCCTCGGTGGTGGTTGAAGTCTCGGTCGTGGTGCTTGTGAAGGCTCCTACCTTCACCATTTCTCCGTACGATGTCAATGCAAGCGGACCTAGTAAACGTCGTGGGCCATCGTAACGGGCTTTGAAGCTGTGCAAGCACTTGCTGTTGTCCCAGGAGATAAAGCGCTTCGCAATCGCCTCCACCTCCTTGACAATCTTCTGGTTGCCGATTTCCTTGAAGATGAGCTTGCCCAGGCTGCCACCATCCGGGGCGGGCTCCAGGTAGGCAACTGCAGCCGTACCTGGAACCTTCTCGCTCACCCAGCGGCCACCCATGTGATCTGCATGTTCATGAACATCCCCACGCTTGCGGGACACCGGGACGGAAGACTTTGAGGCCACAAGCTGTGCGACCTCCTTAAGGCCACTGCTTGCTTAAGAGCCAAAAAAACATACTATTCCCTACAAGGGCAATAAGGGGACTATGTATCTTTCTCTTTTTTGGGATTCTTAAGCAGCAATTAGTAGTACGGTCCTTGCCCGTGATCGTGGCCCGAAGGCGCTTTTCCAGCTTCGGATGGCCCAGCACCTCGACTATGAGCTTCACCCCCACGGGCTCCAGGACTTCGACTGCGCTGTCGAGCTGGGCCTCCTGCTCCTTAGACCGGAGCCTTCATATACATCCCTAATACTACTATATATTGCCTATGAAAGTACTATGAACCATAAACCCTTTTTAGGGTTCATGTACGGTCCCAATTTTAGGGTTCCTTTATCCCCAACAAGGAGCTCCGACTTCAGGCGCTGCGCGAGCATGGGGGCTTCCTGGCGCACGCGCTCCGACTCGCTCGGCGCCCTCTGTGCCTCAAGGTCTGCCATCACAGCCTGTGCTTCAGCGTCCGACAAGAAGTTGTCGATGACCTTGATGGAAGACAGGCAAGTGTCATCTGGATCTGTCAGGGCTTGTGCCAGAACCGCCCAAAGACATACGGGCCAAGCCGGCAGGAGCCAGGATGCAGCCATTGGCAGAGCCTAAGGCGAGCGTTCCGGTGGCCTTCAAGTCGAGCCGCTGTCCCCAAATATGGGGCTGCATAACACCAAAACAGATTCATGCCTTCTGGCGCTATCGCTTCCTTGGCCCTTACTTCCCACTGTACAATGGTGGACAGCTGCTTTTGTGATTCTGTTTGGCCGAGGCCTGGCAATACTGGTCAGTAAGCTTTGTCAAGGCTCTTGGCACTTCTTGGGGCCCCAACATTATCGCTGTCGTCACCGTGGAGCATTCTAGTATCTAGCCTGCCAACTGTAAACGACGGATTCTGCACGCTTTTGCCATGGCCCTGCTTTGCCAGCGTTATCGTCTTATATATTTTCCGTCTGGTCTTTCAACACAAGCGTCTTGTCCCAACCATTTGGGGTGGCCGAGCTCCTGACATGAGTCGATAAACCGAGGCTCTTGGACACAACACTTTTAGGGAGGCAGCAGGCTTGCGGAACCTAACAGGGCATAAGTGACATAAGGCTCGAAAAGGCTTCGCAAATGGATCGGAAAGTCTTGCCGTGCGTCCCATGAGCAATGTGGGGCCGTGTCGCCCCAGCATCAGGAGCATCATTGGGCCTCTGTTTCTTCCCCATGCCCGGTTTGCAAATGGATCGGAAAGTCTTGCCGTGCGTCCCATGAGCAATGTGGGCCCGGTCGCCCCAGCATCAGGAGCATCATTGGGCCTCTGTTTCTTCCCCATGCCCGGTTTGCAAATGGATCGGAAAGTCTTGCCCTGCGTCCCATGAGCAATGTGGGCCCTGTCGTCCCAACATCAGGAGCATCATTGGGCCTCTGTTTCTTCCCCATGCCCGGTTTGCAAATGGATTGGAAAGTCTTGCCGTGCGTCCCATGAGCAATGTGGGCCCTGTCGCCCCAGCATCAGGAGCATCATTGGGCCTCTGTTTCTTCTCCATGCCCGGTTTGCAAATGGATCGGAAAGTCTTGCCGTGCGTCCCATGAGCAATGTGGGCCCTGTCGCCCCAGCATCAGGAGCATCATTGGGCCTCTGTTTCTTCTCCATGCCCGGTTTGCAAATGGATCGGAAAGTCTTGCCCTGCGTCCCATGAGCAATGTGGGCCCTGTTTCTTTTCCATGCCCGGTTTGCAAATGGATCGGAAAGTCTTGCCGTGCGTCCCATGAGCAATGTGGGCCCTGTCGCCCCAGCATCAGGAGCATCATTGGGCCTCTGTTTCTTCCCCATGCCCGGTTTGCAAATGGATCGGAAAGTCTTGCCCTGCGTCCCATGAGCAATGCGGGCCCGGTCGCCCCAGCATCAGGGGCATCATTGGGCCTCTGTTTCTTCCCCATGCCCGGTTTGCAAATGCGTCGGAAAGTCTTGCCGTGCGCCCCATGAGCAATGTGGGCCCTGTCGCCCCAGCATCAGGAGCATCATTGGGCCTCTGTTTCTTCTCCATGCCCTGTTTGCAAATGGATCGGAAAGACTTGCCGTGCGTTCCATGAGCAATGTCAGGGGCATCATTGGGCATCATTGGGCCTCTGTTTCTTCCCCATGCCCGGTTTGCAAATGCGTCGGAAAGTCTTCGCGTGCGTCCCATGAGCAATGTGGGCCCTGTCGCCCCTGCATCAGGAGCATCATTGGGCCTCTGTTTCTCCCCCATGCCCGGTTTGTAAATGGACCGGTTTGCAAGTGGATCGGAAAGTCTTGCCCTGCGTCCCATGAGCAATGTGGGCCCTGTCGCCCCAGCATCAGGGGCATCATTGGGCCTCTTTTTCTTCCCCATGCCCGGTTTGCGAATGGATCAGAAAGTCTTGCCGTGCGTCCCATGAGCAATGTGGGCAATGTCGCCCCAGCATCAGGAGCATCATTGGGCCTCTGTTTCTTCCCCATGCCCGGTTTGCAAATGGATCGGAAAGTCTTGCCCTGCGTCCCATGAGCAATGCGGGCCCGGTCGCCCCAGCATCAGGGGCATCATTGGGCCTCTGTTTCTTCCCCATGCCCGGTTTGCAAATGCGTCGGAAAGTCTTGCCGTGCGCCCCATGAGCAATGTGGGCCCTGTCGCCCCAGCATCAGGAGCATCATTGGGCCTCTGTTTCTTCTCCATGCCCTGTTTGCAAATGGATCGGAAAGACTTGCCGTGCGTTCCATGAGCAATGTCAGGGGCATCATTGGGCATCATTGGGCCTCTGTTTCTTCCCCATGCCCGGTTTGCAAATGCGTCGGAAAGTCTTCGCGTGCGTCCCATGAGCAATGTGGGCCCTGTCGCCCCTGCATCAGGAGCATCATTGGGCCTCTGTTTCTCCCCCATGCCCGGTTTGTAAATGGACCGGTTTGCAAGTGGATCGGAAAGTCTTGCCCTGCGTCCCATGAGCAATGTGGGCCCTGTCGCCCCAGCATCAGGGGCATCATTGGGCCTCTTTTTCTTCCCCATGCCCGGTTTGCGAATGGATCAGAAAGTCTTGCCGTGCGTCCCATGAGCAATGTGGGCAATGTCGCCCCAGCATCAGGAGCATCATTGGGCCTCTGTTTCTTCCCCATGCCCGGTTTGCAAATGGATCGGAAAGTCTTGCCCTGCGTCCCATGAGCAATGTGGGCCCTGTCGCCCCAGTATCAGGAGCATCATTGGGCCTCTGTTTCTTCCCCATGCCCGGCTTGCCAATGGATCGGAAAGTCTTGCCGTGCGTCCCATGAGCAATGTGGGCCCTGTCGCCCCAGCATCAGGAGCGTCATTAGGCCTCTGTTTCTTCCCCATGCCCGGTTTGCAAATGGATCAGAAAGTCTTGCCGTGCGTCCCATGAGCAATGTGGCATCATTGGGCCTCTGTTTCTTCCCCATGCCCGGTTTGCAAATGAATCGGAAAGTCTTGCCGTGCGTCCCATGAGCAATGTGGGCCCTGTCGCCCCAGCATCAGGAGCATCATTGGGCCTCTGTTTCTTCCCCATGCCCGGTTTGCAAATGGATCGGAAAGTCTTGCCGTGCGTCCCATGAGCAATGTGGGCCCTGTCGCCCCAGCATCAGGAGTATCATTGGGCCTCTGTTTCTTCTCCATGCCCGGTTTGCAAATGGATCGGAAAGTCTTGCCCTGCGTCCCATGAGCAATGCGGCCCTGTCGCCCCAGCATCAGGAGCATCATTGGGCCTCTGTTTCTTCCCCATGCCTGGATCGGAAAGTCTTGCCGTGCGTCCCATGAGCAATGTGGGCCCTGTCGCCCCTGCATCAGGAGCATCATTGGGCCTCTGTTTCTTCCCCATGCCCGGTTTGCAAATGGATCAGAAAGTCTTGCTCTGCGTCCCATGAGCAATGTGGGCAATGGCGCCCCAGCATCAGGAGCATCATTGGGCCTCTGTTTCTTCCCCACGCCCGGTTTGCCAATGGATCGGAAAGTCTTGCCGTGCGTCGCATGAGCAATGTGGGCCTTGTCGCCCCCGCATCAGAGCATCATTGGGCCTCTGTTTCTTCCCCATGCCCGGCTTGCAAGTGGATCGGAAAGTTCTCATGAGCAATGTTGGCCCTGTCGCCCCAGCATCAGGAGCATCATTGGGCCTCTGTTTCTTCAATGGATCGGAAAGTCTTGCCGTGCGTCCCATGAGCAATGTGGGCCCGCGTCATTGGGCCTCTGTTTCTTCCCCATGCCCGGTTTGCAAAAGGATCGGAAAGTCTTGCCGTGCCATGAGCAATGTGGGCCCTGTCGCCCCAGCATCAGGAGCATCATTGGGACTCTGTTTCTTCCGGTTCGCAACTGGATCGAAAAGTCTTGCGGCGCGTCCATGAGCAATGTGGGCCCCGCCGCCCCAGCATCAGGAGCATCGTTGGGGCTCTCGTGGTTGAAATGAAGCACCCTAGCATCGGCATGTGACACCAGGGGACCCCCTTCAAACCCCCCGCAAGCCCGGCTACCTCCTGGACCCATGACATGAACAATGGCCTTCTTTCGTCTGCGATGCGCACGTTGGTTTGCCGGGGTGGGGCGCACAAGCGTTTACAAGCAACATTTTATATTATTTAAACAAGGAGGCTACTCTCTCTCATATGTATATACGCCAACAACAGTGATGTCAACCGGGGGGACCCTTTTGGGGGTTCTTGCAAGAAGGATCATAGCATTTGGGGGGTATGTACAGGGTACCCCGAAACCCTAAACCTTAAACCCTATCCCTAAACCCTAGTTGCCAATTCCTAAACCCTAAGCCCGAAACCCTAACCCTAAACCCCAAACCCCAAACCCTGGCAAGACCCTCACGATCATGGCAAGGGCAACCCCCGAGTCCGGCGTAGACTCCTAGCACGCCAGGCCTCCACCCGTACTGCAATAGTACTACGCCAAGGGTCCATGTACCTATATATGTAAAAAACTTGGGCCTCGAAGGGGTTCCCAGAAAGTAGCTTTAGGGCCCAAGTATGTACTTTCCCTAAACCCTAAACCCTAAACCCTACGTATACATGGACCTTGAGCTTCAACTGAAGAGCCACTCTTGGCCAAGGTGCCCCGTTGCCGGGCTGGTCACCCGGAAGCTCCGTGACGGGACGAGGATCTTGCCTGCAAAGAAGGGGTTTAGGGTTTTTTGTTGTGGTACTTAGGGTTTAGGGTTTATAAGTCTATAGGTTTAGGGTTTTTTTAGGGTACTTAGGGAACCCTAAACCCGAAACCCTAAACCCTATAATTAAACCCTAACCCTAAACCCTTATAAACCCTAAACCCTAAACCCTAAAGCTGAGGCCCCCGGGCCGTCAATGAGGAGCGGCGCCTTTTTGCTCAGCGGAACCTCCTCCTCAAAGGGCGCGGGCGTGCACGCTTAGGGTTTAGGGTTTAGGGTTTAGGGTTTAGGGTTTAGGGTTTAGGGTTTAGGGTTTAGGGTTTAGGGTTTAGGGTTTAGGGTTTAGGGTTTAGGGTTTAGGGTTTAGGGTTTAAAGGGTTTGGGGTTTAGGGTTTAGGGTTTAGGGCTTAGGGTTTAGGGTTTAGGGTTTAGGGTTGGGGTCTTCGGGCTTGCAGGGATGCAAAGGTATTAGAGCTGACAGCGCCAACACAGACCACTGTGCTCTGCACGGCATGGGTTTAGGGTTCAGGGTTGCTTCGGGTTTAGGGTTCAGGGTCTAGGGTTGTTTCGGGTTTAGGGTTCAGGGTCTAGGGCTGTTTCGGGTTTAAGGTTCAGGGTTTAGGGTTGTTGAGGGCTTAGGGTTGAGGGTTTAGGGCTTCGGCAGTTTGGTGCCCAGCTGAGTCTCGGACATTGGTGTCTGGTTCCTCGTCCCATCCGTCGTCTTGGAACGTCAGCGTCGCCTTAGCACCCGATCTTTGCAACATGATTCGGGCTGATCCCTGTGACCTATGAGTTGGGATGCTTCCCTTATACTAACAGTCCTGAATAGGGATGACAGTGCCCCCCTATCAAGGGCTGTTCATCCCAACCTATGAGTCCTAAACCCAAAACAACCTGAACATGAGTGACGAGCTAGGCACCAAATTTGCTGAACCTACTCCTGGGCCCAAAATCCCTAAACACCCGAAACCCTCCTAAACAACCCTGAGCCCAAAACACCTAGACCCTGAACCCTAAACCCAAAACACCTAATGTTAACCTCACATCTATAAATGGGGTGGCAACTGTAATATTCGCCGGGCCAGAGGGGCTCAGCCGAAGACTACTTTCCATTACGGGAGGTTTTCGGGCCGATGTGTGTAAACAAGTCTATATAGGGGGGTGCGGTGAAAATAATAATGGGGTGACAACAGTAATATTTGGCCGGCCAGGAATCAGAAATTTTACTTGCGGAGAAGACTTTTCGAGCTCCGAGAGCAAGCAGAACCCTTCGAGACCAAGCACAGCAGACCCTGACAGCTAACCCCCCCCAAGACCCCCAGAATCCGCATTATTGGCACCCACTCGTTTTTTTCTACCCCTCCAAACCCCGGGGACCAAAACAAGTTTTGGGGGGGGGGGGGTTATTAAAGCGACGTTAGCATTAAACCCAGAACTCCTGAGTCCTAAGCCCCAAGCGCCGAAACCCTAAGCCCTAAATCCTAAACACCCCTGAGCCCAAGTCTCCAAAGCCCTAAACCCTAAACCCTAAACCCTAAACCCCTTTAAAGGACAAACCTCCCTCACCCGAGGCACCGGCCGCCTGCGCACGCCTTCCGAGCCGCCGCTTCGTGGCTACTGCGGCCGCGGCCCCCAAGGCGGCGGGCACCTTTGAAGGGTTTAGGGTTTAGGGTTTTTAGGGTTTAGGGTTTAGGGTTTGGGGTTTAGGGCTTAGGGCTTGGGGTTCAGGGTTTAGGGCTTGGGTTCAGGGTTTAGGGTTTAGGGCTTGGGGTTTAGGGTTTAGGGTTTGGGGTTTAGGGTTTAGGGTTTATGGTTTACTAGTTCATGGTTGGGCTAGTATTCAAAAACTAAATTTCTATTCCTGGTTGTTATTGAGCTTAAATTGCCTTAAAAATGTAAAATGTTACCCCAGTCCAGGGTTTATAGAGGGTTTAGGGTTTGGGGTTTAGGATTTAGGGAGGATCCGGGGGCCCGATTTCAGGGTTTCGGGTGTATAGGGTTTAGGGTCTCCGGCTCCCAGGCTTCAGAGTTTACGGCTTGGGGGACCCCGCCCCCTAGGGTTCAGGGTTTAGGGTTTCGGGTTTAGGGTTAGGGTTTAGGGTTTAGGGCTTAGGGCTTAGGGCTTAGGGCTTAGGGCTTAGGGCTTAGGGCTTAGGGCTTAGGGCATGGGGCTTAGGGCTTAGGGTTTTTTTAGGGCTAGGGTATGTGATCCCAATTTTTGCGCTCATTGGGTCCCCCCCAGACGCATGCGCGCACACGCGCACATGCGTTGTTTCACCCAAAGCTCCACTCCATGGACCTAGGATGTCGGCCCCCTCCTGAACCCTAAACTAAACCGTAAACCCTAAACCCTAAGCCCGAAAACCCTGAGAGCCCTAAAAAAGCCTGGGACCCGATGAACGCTAAGATTGGGATCACATACCCTACCTACCCTAAACCCTAAACCCTAAACACTAAACACTAAACCCTAAACCCTAAACCCTAAACCCTAAACCCCCCTAAACCCTAACCCAAGCTCCATCTGCAACAGGCAAGAACCCGCTGGCCTGGGCCCGGCTCACAGAAGAGCGGCAGAGTGGCTCAGAGCGGCCAAGCACCTTCTGAGCAACCCCAGATGCCAAAAGAGACTAAATGGGTTTAGGGTTTAGGGTTTAGGGTTTAGGGTTTAGGGTTAGGGTTTAGGGTTTAGGGTTGAAAACGCTGCGAATCCCAACCCTACGCTCCCCCCCACACAATGGGTTTAGGGTTTTGGGGTTTAAGGGTTTGGGGTTTAAGGTTTCGGGTTTACAGTTTAAGGCTTTGGGATGGCTACTTGGAGGTTCATGGTACTTCGTAACCCCCTTAGAACCGTACTTCTAACCCAATTACAGCCCTATTCGGGTACTTAAGGGGCTTACAAGTAGCTTACAACCACACTTATCATTTGGTTATAAGTACCCTGAAGCTCCAAGGAGAGTTTAGGGTAGGGCTTATAGGGTTTATAGGGTTTAGGGCTTTGGGCTTCGGGCTTAGAGTTTAGGGTGTAGGGTGTAGGGTTTAGGGTTTAGGTTTTAGGGTTTAGGGCTTAGGGTTTACAATTTTGGTTGTCCGCCAGGCTGTTCAGGAATGACAGGAGCCTCATGGCTCTCACCCACCGCTCGCTTGGGCAGGTGCTCCTTGCAAGAGGAGAAATTCGATGTTTAGGGATGTTTAGGGTTTATAAGGTTTACGGTTGAGAAAGCTTAGGGCTTGGGCTTTAGGGTTAGGGCTTAGGGTTTAGTTTACTTTCTGATCTGGAATCAGGTTTTGGGGTTTAAGGCTTAGGGTTTAGGGCTGAGGGTTTAAGGTTAGGGCTTAGGGAATTAGGGTTTAGGGTTTAAGGCTTATAGGGTTCAGGGAAAAGAGGCCAGGGGGGGAGCGGAACCACAAACGATGGATCGCAGTAAGAGCGGAGTACAGGGCCCAAGGCACGGGCGGCCTAGAGATTCCTTCTTTATGACTCCCTAATTATTAGGGTTTAGGGTTTAGGGTTTAGGGTTTAGGGTTTAGGGTTTAGGGATAAACTGACTGAGCTCAGTCAAACTATCAGGGCTCTCAAATTAAATGACTGAGCTTAGCTTCTTTAAAGTCTGCCAAAGCATCCCAATGCAGCCTGCACTTGCACCTTGTGTACAGCCCCCAGTCGGTGCTCCAAGATCTCAACTCGGGAATATCTCCTGAAGTCGTATGAGGCTCCCCATGACACTTCAAGGAAGACTACCCCCTCACTAAGGAATCCACCCTGAAAACTTAGCCCTAACCCCGAAAACCCCTAAACCCCTAACCCCTAAACCCTAAACCCTAGTTCCAAACCCTAAACCCTAAACCCTAAACCCTAAACCCTAAACCCTAAACCCTAAACCCTAAACCCCCAAGAATAGGCCGAGCTCTCCTGCAGGGGGGGCGGGCCCCGGCTCCCAGGGATCATGGCTCCCAGCCGCTTCGGACGTTTCTTTTTGTTTAAAGGGAGAGTTGGAGGGTCCCTTTCTTGGAGAATCCGATTGCCTTCGGGGTAACCCTAAACCCTAAACCCTAAACCCTAAACCCTAAACCCTGCACCCCCTAAACCCTAAACCCTAAATCCAAGCAGGGCTTTGGTGTGGGTTTCAGGAAGGCGGCATGCGGGTGCATGGGCTCGGTGGTGCCCTTCTCATGCGAGAGCTTCCGGTGTCACGAAGAAGCACGGGGTGTTAAAACGGCCTTTAACCCTAAGCCCTAAGCCCTAAGCCCTAAGCCCTAAGCCCTAAGCCCTAAGCCCTAAGCCCTAAGCCCTAAGCCCTAAGCCCTAAGCCCTAAACCCTAAACCCTAGCCCTAAACCCTAAACCCTACACCTTCAACCCTAAAAACCCCTGAAGCTTTCTTGTGGATCGAGGCAGGGGGGTCTGCAGCTGTGAGCCACAATCGTCCCAACAGCACGTAGAAGAGAAAGCCAAGGCAGGGACCAATCTGCGAGGGCGTGATACCTTACCCTAAGAGTCCATGTACCTACATAGTATAGACCTAGGCCCCAAAGCTACTATATCGGAACCCCCTAAACCCTAAACCCTAGCCCTAAACCCTAAACCGACAGGTACATGGACCCTGATCCCCAAAACACCCGAAATTTGGGCATCCCCTCAGTGCTCCACACGGTGGGGGCCACCTCCGTCGAGATGCCAGCAATGCGCTCGAGGGCCTATAGGGTTTAGGGTTTAGGGTTTCGGGTTTCGGGTTTAGGGTTTCGGGTTTAGGGTTTCGGGTTTAGGGTTTAGGTTTAGGGTTTAGGATTTGCGGAGGAGTAGAATGTCGGCATTTTCGAGACAAGGATGCGTGGTTTAGGGCTGAGGTGCAAGCAGTTCCTACTCGCTCTGATTGCAGACGGCTAAGCCCTAAACCCTAAACCCTAAACCCTAAACCCTAAACCCTAAACCCTAAACCCAGAACGCACCGGCTGACGCAACGGCTAGCGTGTCCTTTTCGGCGGCCGCTTGCGATGTGGATCTGGATTTTGCAAGCGCTTGTCCGAAACTTAGCCCCCGTGCGGCACGCCTTGCAAAAGACATCCCGGAAAACCTTCTCCGCAGAGTCTGCAATTCAGGGTTTAGGGTTTAGGGTTTAGGGTTTAAGGTTTAGGAGTTTAGGATATACTTCCTGAAGCTCTGAAACTAAACCTTAGAACAAGATGCCGGTGGCTCGGTGTCATTTCAAGGTTGCCATTGCTGAAGGTAGCGGGGCACCCCCTGCCCGCCGGTCATGTGCAGATCGTGCTGAACATGCGGCGGGATCGTCCGAATTCTTCCGCTCTTCGTTTAGAAGCGCATGGCGCGTGTCATAGCAAGGATTAGCTGGCCGCTGGCAAGTTGAGGCATTGATTTCCCACCTTGATGAGGATGTCTCCAATATCAATGAATGTTCAATCTAGGTGAGAAAGAGGTTCCCTGATGATATGAGGTTCGGGCAAAGCAGTGAGAACATGCCAACAGATCTAAGGCGAAAGTCTTTGCGAGCTCTGCCGCAAGGAAGTCTGCTCTGGAACGGCACAAAAGGAAGTACTTTCTGGCACCGAATGAGCGCGTGATAGTCCATTGCTAGAGGGTTCTGTCGGTGCATTTTTGACAGAGCAGAGCCACAGTAAGCCTAAGATGTCACCTCAGCTGTACATCGTTCTGCGGCGCAGGCATGCTCCGATGAGCTGGAGCAGATGAAGAGAGAGCTTATGCTGGCGGATGGCGTTTGGCTCATAACCAGCCTGCTCTTGTTGCGCGTTGCCAAGCTGCCCGTGTCAGCAGGAAAACAGGATCTGCGCTGACATGAAAATGGAAATCTCCCTGCTCCAGAAACACTGGTCCCACGCCGTAGAAAATTTACTACCCCAGCATGTGCGGGCGGCTGCGTGTTTGAGGAGTTCGGGAGTTCAGGATTACTGCCTGCAAGGCATTTGACCGCTTCGCTTCGCACCTCCGGAGTCTTCGTACGGGCAAGTTCGGCTTGGGACGGGGTTGGACCCTAAACCCTAAACCCTAAACCCTTAACCCTAAACCCTAAACCCTAAACCTTGGTAGCCTCCGAGGCGAAGCCGCAGTCAACTCGCTTGAGCTGGGTCAAAAGGATTCCGAAGTGAGGCGGAGACGCCCAGCCGCTCCCTTCGTGAGGTGTCCGAGCCTCCTCATTGCAGGAAGTCAGCTCACCAGTGTACCAACGCGTAGCAACCTTTCATGAGACCGGAGAGATGTAGAGGTGTGATCCTGGGGGCTTCCCTCAAACAGGGGTACAATAACCTCTTTTTTTTTTTGGGGGGGGGGGTCCTAGAATCAGGACAGCGCTGATAATTATATTGGTGCGTGCCGGCTTTCTGGGAGATCCCCACATCCCAATGCCAGATTCTGAAACGGCTGAAGCTGAGGGGCCCGAGAGGCTCCCAGACCGAACTTCTCTACGGCGAGGTCGCGGTGGCCGCGTTCAGGGCGACCAGCTTCACCTCGCCCGGCAGCATCGGGCGGGTTTGGGGCATACGGTTTCGGGCTTCTACACGTAGACTGGTCCTTAAACCCTAAACGTATATTAGGTTTATAGAAGCCTCTTGTAAAAGTCTTTAGAGAGGGAAGCCGGCTACCTGAAATTGTTCTGGATAGACTCTATAGACGCTAGACGTGGAGTTGTGCTGGCCCCCAAGATCACTCAAAAAACTCCGTAACAGTACCAGTAGGGTCCCCACTTTCATTACAAGGACTACTCCCTACTTACCAAACTCTGAACCCTAAACTCTACACCCTAAACCCTACACCCTAAACCCCAAACCCTAAACCCTAAACTCTAAACCCTAAACCCTAAACCCCAAACCCTAAACCCTCTTTTTGACGCCGGCCTCGCTTTTGGCCGCAGTCTTCGGCTCGGGAGCCTTCCAAAGCCTTTGCTGGCTTGACAGAAGACCACATCAGGTTTAGGGTTTAGGGTTTAGGGTTTAGGATTTGGGGTTTGGGGCTTCGGGTTTGGGGTTTAGGGTTTAGGGTTGAAACGGCAACTTTCTTTCAGCACGAAACGGAAGCTTTCACGCGGGCTTAGGGTTTAGGGTTCAGGGTTGAGGTTTTAGTTGGGGTTGAAGGTTCAGGGACAGGACGATGACGAAGGGAGTCCTGAGCCAATGCTTTCCACGGCGCTCGTTGCAAAGGATGCCAGCCAGGACAAGAACCCCGCCAGCCACGTCAGAAGCGGTGAAGATCTGAGCTCCCGCAAGTATCTAGGCTTCTCAGTATGAGCCTTCCTCTGGGTCCCTTGTCATAGAACCCTCTTATGCGCCGCACAGAATAAGGGCTCATACATCGGATCCCTTAAGGTAAGGAACCATACTAATGCGTCTTGGGGTGGGTTCCCCATACGAAGGAAAACCATGTTTGTCCTTCTAAACCCAGAAAAAAAACACACCAGGGCACCTCCCAGGTCTTGGGGGTTCAGGTTTAGGGTTTAAGGGGTTTAGGGATTCAGAGGTGTTTGGGGGAGGGGTTGGGAATTTTGGAGGTTTAGGCGCCTTGGCTCTTGGATTTCAGAATGGTTTAGGGATGTTGAGGGTGGTTTGAGACTGGAGAAGGGGTTTAGGGGCTTTGGGGTTTCTTCGGTTTCGGGGGTTGAGGGGGGCGCGGGGCGATTGGGGTTGTTCAGTTCGGTGTCGGCTTCGGGTGGTCTTCAAGACGAAGAGGCTGTTGGAGGGTTCCAGTCCCTATACCCCAAACCCTAAACCCTAAACCCTAAGCCCTAAACCCTAAACCCTAAACCCTAAACCTAAACCCTAAACCCCAAATCCGGGGGTTCAGGCTTTGGGGGGGACTTGTCGTGATCTTGCGTGCGGCGATCGACGCATTTCATCGAGACCTGCTCGTTTCGGGTTCTGGTACCAACAAAGGAAGGGGGCCCACAAATTGTGGGCTTAGGTTCAGGGTTGAGGGTTTAGGGTTTAGGGCTTAGGGTTGAGGGTTAAGGTTAAGGTTTAGGGTTTAGGGTTTAGGGAGAACCCTCCAACTGGACGGGGGGGGGGGGGGGGTCAGTCGGTTTGTCAGGTGACTGGTGCAAGTGCACCCTTCCACGCCTGCTTAGCTATCGGTTGAATTCAGGCTTGTCTAGGCTTCGTTGAGGGTTTAAGGCTTAACCTCATGTCACATGGCACCAAACCCTAAACCCCCTAAACCCCCCTAACCCCCTAGACCCCCTAAACCCCCAAAACCCCCAAAACCCCCCTAAACCCCTAAACCCCCAAAACCACCAACAAAACCCCCCCCCAAAACTCCCTAAACCCCCTAAACCCCAAAAACAAAACAAAACAAAAAAACTATAAACAAAACCTAACCCCCCTAAACTCTTAACCCCTAAACCCTAAACAACCCCTAACCCCCCCTCCCCCCTGCTCACCTCACCCAAGAAGGCGGCCCCGGCTAAGGCCGCCCAGAGCGGCTCGGAGGCGACGATGAGGGAAACCTTATCTTGAGGGGGGCGGGGTTTAGGGTTTAGGGTTTAGGGTTTAGGGTTGACGGTTGAGGGTTGAGGGTTCAGCGTTTGAGACAGGGTGTAGGGTTGAGGGTTCAGGGCTTAGGGTACAGCATTTTGGGTTTTAGGTTTAGGGTTCAGTTTAGGGTTCAGAGCTTTGGGTGTTAGGTTTCGGGTATCTCGGGTTCAGGGTTTAGTTTCAGGCTTGTGGGCTTGGGCCGTACTGCGGGTCAACCATGGAGTCTTGAAAACCCATCCACATACCTGTAGCATATGGGCACATCCTTTTTCTGGATGCCCCCAAACAGGGGTCTACTTAGCAACTCAGGTATTGATGGTCTGGGGAGTAGGGTCCGGCTCCTGGTATTCAAAGCCTTAAACCCCTAAACACCCCAAACCCTAAACCCTAAACCCTAGACCCTGAACACGAGATGCTTCCCCTGCTGCCCCTCATCAGCTAAGGCCCGAACATCAGATGCCTTGAGGCGCTTCATCGCCTCCTGGGCAGCAAAACCCTAAACCCTAAGCCCTAACATAAGCCCTGAAGCCCCAAACCCAACCCTAAACCCTAAACCCTAAACCCTAAACCAGAGACCCTAAACCCTAAAGCCTAAGCCCTAAACCCTAAGCCCTAAACCCTGAGCCCTAAACCCTAAACCCTAAACCCCAAACCCTAAACCCTAAACCCTAACCCTAAACCCTAAACCCTGAACCGATTCGGGCTGAAGGATGCTGCTTTGGGGGCCGTGGGACAGCTCTCAGGCGAAGCCCCCCCGTACAGCCAGTGTCTCCTGAAGATTATGACTTGCACAATGATGATCATCATAGGGTTTAGGGTTTAGGGTTTAGGGTTTAGGGTTTAGGGTTTAGGGTTTAGGGTTTAGGGTTTAGGGTTTAATGGTATCAACAGCAGTGACAGTAAGAAACATCACGGCCACCATTCCCGGGCCCTGCTTCAGAGATGCACAGTTCCTGACAAGCTTCATTGCAAAGCAGCATGGTCACGGTGTTGCCGAAGAAGGCGGAAAACAGCAGCGCCGGCAGAAGGCCTGGCACACATCTGTGGGGACGGCAAACCCTAAACCCAAGACCCCTGTAGTTAAAACCCCAGGGAATCCTAAACCCTAAACCCTGAACCCTAAACCCTAAACCCTAAACCCTAAACCCTAAACCCTAAACCCTATAAACCCTAAGCCCTAAACCTGCAGCGGAGTGCTGGTAGGAAATGGGGCTCGAAGAGCACTTCGCCCTCCCCGTAAATCCTCGATCCAATACCCCTAAGCCCTAAACATCCCTAAACCCTAAACCCTAAACCCTAAACCCTAAACCCTAAACCCTAAACCCTAAACCCTAAACCTTACACTCTGACCATGCCATCGCACAATGAGCGCAAAAGATTCTTCCCTGGATGGGGAAAGTCCTCAGCCGGTAACGCCTCTAACCGTCCAGCCAAGAACTGGGATACACCTTAAACCCAAAACCCTAACCCTCAATCCAAAAGACCAAACCAAAAACACCCCCATGACCTTCAAAATTCCTGGACCCCTAAACCCAAAATGGCCCGAACCCGAATCCCGAACCACTCAACCCTAATGCAGAAATTTTCAACTAAACCCTAAACCCTAAACCCTATATACACCCTAAAGCCCAAAACCCTAAATGCTACCCCGGCCTGGGGTCTGCAAGAGCTCAGGGAAGTGGGCGACGCCCTGGACCAGGCCAGTCGGCCCGTGGCGTAGAAGTAGCTCCCCTAAAGACCTTCTCTTCAGGATTAGGGTTGAGGGTTTAGGGCTTAGAGTTTAGGGTTAAGGTCTAGGGTTTAGGGTTCAGGCTGAGGGTTGAGGGTTTAAAGTTTGGGGTCCTTAGACGTTCTTCGGGTTGAGGGTGAAAAGCCCCTTTTGACAATCTTCAAACGGGGGGACCTGATGAGAACTCACCTGATTCATTTGGGGTGCTCCTTTTTGAGACGGCCAAGCGGCCACACCGCAAAGAGGGCGGCGAAGCAAATCAGCTGGATGGCGACCGTGGGCGTGGAGTCTTTCGGGAACTTCTTCATGCAGTCCCCGAGGACATGCCAGCCTAGACCCAGGAGTAACCTAGGAATAAAAAGGGTGCCCTTTTTGCTTTAATAAGGGGGTTCTAAGAGAGCCCAAACCCTAAAAAAAGGGGATAAGGGTCTACTCTGGGTCCTAGCTACCCTAAACCCTATATCCTAAACCCTAAACCCTAAACCCTAAACCCTAAACCCTAAACCCTAAACCCTAAACCCTAAAAAGGTCCTAGCAGCTGAGCCCGATGAGGATGGGGGCCGCCATGCACATCAGGTCGCCCACCGTCGCCTCAACGGGCCCCGAGGAGAACTCGAGGACTCCGACGCCGGCCACCTTACTTCTCCAATAACCAAGGGGACAAAAAGGGTTAAACTTTCTGATTCCTACTAAACCCCTAAGCCCTAAACCCTAAGCCCTAAGCCCTAAACCCTAAACCCTAAACCCTAAACCCAAAAAGTTTAAAGTTCAGCTGTTGGAGAAGGAAGCCACGGCAAGGGCCGCCGAGCAGAAGGTGCCTAAGTTGAGCCGCTTGGCCGCGATGGAGCTCAGAGAAGCCACCTCAGACGAGAACATAAAGAAAAAGACACATAAGAACAAATGTGCATAGTAATGGCAGAGAAGTCAATATCGTCTGACTGATACTTCGCAGATACTTAAACAACTGAGTGCAGCTCTTAGCAATGCTCATGGCTCCAAGGCACCACCGTGGTCTGCAGCGCCGTGATGAAGGCGGCTTTTGCCCCCGTTGTCCCGTATGAGAAGGACACAAAGATGGCTGCGTAAGCCACGGCACCAAAGCTTCCTTGGGGACGAAAGGGACCCTAAAATTGGGATCGCTAGACCCTATACGACAGTTATCCCGATTAGACTCTAACCCTAAACCCTAAACCCTAAACCCTAAACCCTAAACCCTAAACCCTCTTAAGTTTCCATGTGGTCCCCGAGGTACCCACCAGCGCACTGGTCCGCGCGCTCTCTGCAGAGCTGGACCTTAGTTGCTGAGGTCATGGCCCCAAAAAATAAGCCCTAAACCTCGAAACCCTGTACTTATGTAGCTCCTAAGGGACTTCAATAGCCACGGGAGGAGGGGCAGCGCCGCCAGAACGAAGCGGAGCGCTCCGAAGACCACCGGGGCATCTTCGACCTGAGGCCGCAGGGCAACGCTATTCATCAATAATATTCATGACAAGAATCCTAGTACTAATCATGATACGGAAATATTTGCAAGAATGAACCTACACATATACATAAAAATGTATGTATGTGTATATATATATGTACACATATTTATTTGTTTATGTATATTTATGTATATAGATGTATATCCATATATATATATGTGTGTATATATTTATGCTCCGAAAAACACACGATGTAAGACCACAAGAATATGGCCATGTCGCACCAAAGTTCTGTCTGAGCCTTCGGCTCCGGCGGAGCTCAGGGCGTCGATGCCGGCCTGAGCTTCAAGGCAACGTTGGGTTTAGGGTTTAGGGTTTAGGGCTTAGGGTTTAGGGCTTCGGGTTTTTGTTTGGGTGTTTCGCCCACGGAGATCGCGACGGCCTTCGTGGAGATGAAGGAGGATCCCCAGCACACGGCATTGAAGAGCGTGATGCCTTTCCAGAAGTTGATGCCGGAAATGTCCTCCGCGTCCTCAAACAAGTTTCCAGAGCAGCTTTGTCACACAGGGCTTTCTCTCATGTTTAATGTGAAATAAGTGATAGTACTAAGAATAAGAATAACATCAATGTATACCCATGACGAAAATAAAAAATATATTAATACAAATACAGATACTGATCACGACACTTATATTAAAACAGGAATAATAAAGCATCTGAAAGCCCTTGGTTCTTAGTAGGGAATGAGGGCCGTAAAGATACGCTTTAAGGGATTATACAAGGCCCTCATTCTCTCCTTCTCGACTAAGAACCAGCATCTGAAAGCCCCACAGCCGTTCCTCCTCAGACTTGGCCACTCTGGCCTGCCGCCGCAGAGCCTGGACAACTCGGGCCAGGCAAATGTAACCCTCGTGACCGGAGTACAGGATTTAGGGTTTAGGGTTTAGGGCTTAGGGCTTAGGATTTAGGGTTTCGGGTTTTAGGATTCAGGGTCCTACCGAACTCCCTATGCTGCCAGCCATGCTTTATAGATCGCAGAACCCATGTCTGAGAGTGTGTTTTTTGTTTGAATATGTTTTACGATGCTTCTCATAAATATCTTGTTAAGCAGTGCATATCTGCCATACGTACATATACGTTTACGTAGCCATCGCGTCTATTATATTTGCATGCAAGACATCAGCGCCTTCTGCGAGCTGACGCTGCAGCGTCCGGGCCGCGCCCGCTCGGGTGAACCTGACGGAGACGGCTGCCGGATGCCCCCCGGTACCTCTTGTAGGATTAAGGGTTTAGGGCTTAGGGTTTCGGGTTTAGGGGTTAGGGTTGAGATCTCTTGCGGATTCTGCGTAGAAGGAATTAGGGTTTAGGGTTTCGCTTTCTTAATATATATGGAATCACCCGACATAGAATTCCCTCAAAAGGTTACAAATCTAGGTACCCTAGATGTAGAAGAACCCTTTCAAAGAGGTCATATTGGGGGGATAGAAGGTGCCGAATTCCATAATTGACAGCACCCGGATGCGACCCAGGCACCTGGAACAAAGGCTGTCCTGACTACGAGCCTCCTGAGCTGGGGCTTTGGGCTTTGGGCTTTGGGCTTTGGGCTTTGGGCTTTGGGCTTTGGGCTTTGGGCTTTGGGCCTTGGGCCTTGGGCCTTGGGCTTTGTGCCTTGGGCCTTGGGCCTCGGGCCGTGGGCGTTGGGCCTTGGGCTTTGGGCCTTGGGCCTTGCGGCCTTGGGTGTTGGGCCTTTGGCCTTGGGCCTTGCGCAAGGCCCCTTGCGGCCTTGGGCTTTGGGCCTTGGGCCTTGGGCCTCGGGCCTTGCGGCCTTGGGCCTCGGGCCTCGGGCCTCGAGCTTTGGGCCTTGGGCTTTGGGCCTTGGGCTTTGGGCTTTGGGCTTTGGAGTTTAAGGTTTAGAGTTCGCGGCGCTTAGAAAAGAAGAAAGAGACAGAGCGGCTTGGGTTGTTCGATTGTTGCGGACTCACAACAAAATAACCCTAAACCCTAAGCCCTAAACCCCAGACCCCAAACCCTTTTCAGGAAGTTCTTGTGCATGCTTGGAACACTGATCCCCCCTTGAGGTGCCTTTACAGTGAATGTTCCCCCTTATAGTCATTAATAGATTAATAGGGATTTTCATACCCCCCAATTATAATCCCCTTTTAAGGGGGTATACTGAAGGGTGTCCCAGCTCTAGTCGTCCTTAAACCCATGTTCCAACTTTCTGGAGTTTACTGTGGGGTCCCTTTAGACACGAACTGCCAGCGATGAAAAGATCCGCGTTCAGGTTTTCTTTAAGGCTGTAGGGTAATTTCGGGTTTAGGGTTTAGGGTTTCGGGTTCAGGGTTTAGGGTATATAGGTTTTTAGGAATACCGGGTTCAGGCTCTCTGGTCAGGCAGAGATGCATGCAGCATGCCAGGACCAAGACCGTCAGGAACGGCGAGGGCCTCCTCCAAGTGATGGAGCTCCTGCAAAAAACTATATGTTACTTCGAACAGCCCCACCTTCTCTTGGTAGAGATAGTCTGGGGTTGGGCACTCCAGGGAGACTCTGGGGCGAGGCACTCCGGGGCGGGGACCTCTGAAATTGGGCACTCCAGGGAGACTCTGGGGTTGGGCACTTCAGGGCTGCGTGAGGAGTGCACCGGGCGAGGAGAAGAGTTCCGGGCGAGGAGAAGAGTTGAGTTTAACAACCTCACACCGAGGGTGGGGAAAAACCCCTAAACCCCAAACCCCAAACCCTAAACCCTAGCCCCTAACCCCTAAACCGCTTCCGGCAGCTTCCCACTCTTGTGCAGATCCCTCCCGAACTTCACCCTGACCCTCCACTCCTGCAGTTGATTGAGGGAATCATGGCCAGACCGGGCGCCAGCGGGGCCATCTCGGAATCGTCCTCTGCCCTACTGGAGGGAATCGTGTCAGGTCCAGGCCAAAATGGCTCGAGACCAGGACGCAACCCGGAGAATCCAGCACGTGAAGGCGCGCCCATGCTGCATGAACCAGGCCATTTAGCCCATAAAGGAGGGACGGCAAACCACCTGTTGGATCCCTGCTTAGAGGTTCAGAGTCGCAGTTAGAACCCACACTTAGAAGCCCGAAACCCCAAACCCCAAACCCTAAACCCTGCAACCTGCTTCACGTGCTCGCGCTTCCAGTGCAGCTGCGACTCGTAGCTCAGATGCCTGGTTTAGGGTTTAGGGTTTAGGGTTTAGGTTTAGGGGTCTCTCCAGGGTCCCGGGAGACATTCGCGTTAAGGTTCATGGAACTTCTCAACCCACGCATCACCGTACTTAAAATCCTATGAGGGTACCAAAAAGCGACTTTGAGTTGTTTAGGGTTTAGGGCCTTTAGGGTTGAGGGTTGAGGGGTTTAGGGTTTAGGGTGTAGGGCGTAGCCCCCATACTTGAGGTAGGGCCGCAAACTAGGAGGAAGAGACAGAACAACCGAGACTCCCAACACGAACCTTTAACCTGTGTAGATTATTCTCCACTCGCCACATAGTCACCCTTCAACCAGTAGTAACTTAGGGCAGCAGAGTGGCCCATTCGGGTTTCATGGGGCTGGGTCCCCGTAACCCAAAGCCCTAAACCCTAAACCCTAAGCCCAAAGCCCTAAACCCTAAACCCTAAACCCGAAACCCAATTTAGGGCCTAGGGCTTTCTTTCGCTGTCGCGAAAATCCTGAGGTGGGGGCTGATATTGGCAACCGCTGCACCGGCTGAAGAGAGGGCACCTGGTACTCAAAGGAGCTTCGGGTCTATCGGGTTTAGGGTTTAGGGTTTAGGGCTTAGGGTTTAGGGTTGAGCGTTTAGTGTTTCGGGTCTGGGGGTTAGGGTTCAGGGTTTAGGGTTTTAGGGCTTATAGGGTTTTAATTCTAAGGGTTCGGGTGTAGGCTGAGCCCCAAACCCCTAAGCCCTGCAAAGCCTGTAGCCATTCCAAGGTCGTCTCATGAGACCCTGTTTCGGTTTCGGGCGCTAGACCGAGTTCATGAATGGCAATGGACATAGAGGCTCGACGTGAAACATCCTTTGCAAGCAGTGCGTCTCCCCTAAGCCTCCATGTACCCATATAGTAGAAACTTGGGCCTTAAAGGGGTTCCTATAGAATACCTTAAGGCCTGAGTATCTACTATAAGGGTACACGGAGCCTTAGGGTTCGGGTTCAGGGTTGAAGGCAGACCGCTGCGCGCCTTGGCTCCACTCGCTCGGGCGAGGCTTCGACAACGCGGCAGAGGCGAGCCTGTCAACGCTGGCCCTGAGACCCTCGGCCCTAAACGCTAAATACCCTAAACCCTGAACCTCAACCCTAAATACCCTAACCCTGAATACCCTAAACCCTAAATACCCTAATCCCTAAATACCCCGAACCCTACATACTACCCTAAACCCTAAATACCCTCAGCCCTGAACGCACCGTTTCCACTCAGCAGCTATTTGCTGAGGGAACTGCCCCTAAACCCTCAACCCTAAACCCTAAGCCTAAACCCTAAACCCTGAACCCTAAACCCCCCCCCCCCCATATTAAGGGACCAACTAGGGCATCCCGTAGATTTTTTGCCTCGGGCCTCAGATCGGCTCCGGTAGTTGCGAACAATCCGCACCCTGGCGCAGGAACTTATGCGGCAGGGTTTAGGGTTTAGGGTTTAGGGTTTAGGGGTTAAGGGTTTAAGGTTTAGGGTTCAGAGTTCAGGGTTCAGGGTTTAGAGTTTAAGGTTTAGGGAGGCCATCTTTGCAACCGGGAGGTTTTCGGGTGGGTAGGGCTTGTTAGGACTTTCTTAGGGTTTGGGGTTTTCAGGGTTTTGAGGGCTTTTAGGGCTTCTAGGGTTGTTCAGGGATTTAGGGCTTGGGCCAACCAGGGGCTTCATGGGAACTAGAGGCCCTTGGTCCCTAAATTTGGTCGTCCACAGCTCGTCATCCTGTGAACCCGTTTTAGGGTTTAGGGTTTAGGGTTTAGGGTTTAGGGTTTAGGGTTTAGGGTTTAGGGTTTAGGGTTTAGGGTTAGGGTTTACTTGGAGGTTCAGGGTACGTAGCAACCCAATCAGAAGTGCAGAAATGTCTACCTATACGCCCCTTTTTCGTACCCTAATAGGGCTTTCGTTTGGGTATAAGTACAGTAAGATTTTGGTTACTAAGTACCCTGAACCTTCAAGGCATGTCGTGTGGCTTCACTGCTTCTGGGTCAGAGTTCGGACTCGCAAAAACCGGCCAAATGGACAGGGGCTTCGACTCTCTGAATGTTGTTCGAAAGGGTCTCTAACCCCCCCCCCCCTCCCCGAATTTGCCGGCAACACTGAACCAGCTCGCGTGGGAGTGCCCCGAATATCATGACCTCGGGCAAGCGCGACGCATCAGAGGAATGCTCCAAGCAAGAAGATAACTTCATCACACAATGCTTCGACAGATGTGTAGGCAGTCCAGTCTGGTGCGCCAGGCAGTCAGTGTAAACCCTAAACCCTAAACCCTAAAAGGTTCGTTGCTTCCCGATCGTCCCTACTTGGAGGTTCAGGGTACTTGCAACCCAACTAGAAGTGCAGTTATACCCCACTTCTAGGCCCCTTAAGTACCCCAATATGGCTTTAATTGGGTTATAAGTACAGTTAACATTGGGTTCAACCCTAAACCCTAAACCCTAAACCCTAAACCCTAAACCCTAAACCCTAAACCCTAAATTGGGTTCGATGTACAGTTCTACTTGGGTTACGAAGTACCCTGAACCTCCAAGTACCTGAAGCTCTGACCACCCATCTCGTCGGCCCAAGGCGACCAAGAGCCTTGCGTTGCATTGTCCGGCTCCTACATCCCTTCGGGATTACATGCAGGGTTTAGGGCTTGAGGTCGAAACCCTAAACCCTACACCCTAACCCCTAAACCTAAAAACCCTAAACCCTAAAACCTAAACCCTAAACCCGGAGGGGTTGAGTTTAGGGTTCTGAAGACCGAGGGGTTGTTATCTAAACTATGGCTCATTTTGGGGAGGCTCCCCACGAAGGGACCGTCATTCAGACTATATCGTCTTAGACACGACTTGGACTTGCGCGGCTTCAGCGCGCGGGGCTGCCAGCAAAATACAGGGTTTAGGGTTCAGTTTCTGATTTAGAGTTTGGGGTTGAGGGTTTGGGGGTTTAGGTAGGGTTTAGCCGAGGCCTCAACACGTGCAACAAGAAACGAAACCGCATGGGGGTCCCAGGTGGGGTCCCACAGAACCTTCCGAGCAGACTTATCAGCTTAAGGTTGGGGTTTGAAGGCTCTAGCGTTTAGGGGTTTCGGGGCTTCGGGGCTTCGGGTTTTGGGCTAGGTAGGAAAACATCAAACATCAAGCCCGCCCATAGACTAGCACACAGAAGGGCGGGTTTAGCACCATCAGACGGTGTGACAGGTCCCCCCGGTCTTTGGAAATATCCCAAGTCTGAATACCCATATTAATATATATGTATATATATATATATATACATATACATATACAAGCAGATCCCATTCCAATAAAGGTGAGCAGGTGACAACCAGAAAGTAGGTGAAAAGAGTAGGGTTTTAAGTGCATGGCGCAGCCAGCAATGGTTCGCAAGACCCTAAACCCTAAACCCCAAAATCCTCCAAATTAAAATGGCCACGTCGGGGTTTACGCAAGTAGGGGTACCTTATTTGGGTCCTGATTAGAAGGGAATCCTACTATTTTGGGGGTTCCTATTCGGGGTCCCATATTTTCGTCAACCCCCATGTGATTTTCAGGCCTGACCGGAGCTGGTGAGCGTCTCTGTTCGCAGCTCAAGGACATCGCCCTCCTGGGGTTTAGGGTTTCGGGTTTAGGGTTTAGGGTTTCGGGTTTAGGTTTAGGGTTTAGGGTTTAAGTTTGTTTTTGGGGGGGGGTGCTCGACATTGTTTGGGACGTTCTCCCTTAGGCTCGCAGTCCTTCACAGGGACTAGAGTGCCCCCTTATTCCTCCCCACTAAGGACTGTTACGATAAGGGGGAGCCCAAGGCATTGTCCTCCTTTGCCGGAAGCCTGCTTGTGTTGGGCAAAAAAACCCACACGATGACAGCTTCGTTTCGCTTCTGCTCTGGAAGCCTTCGGGTTTAGGGTTTAGGGTTTGGGGTTTAGGGTTTGGGGTTTAGGGTTTGGGGTTTAGGGGCCCTAAACCTACGTTTCTCCGCCAATTCCCCCACCCTGCTAAATCTTAACCTAAACCCTACATCCCTCAATCCCTGAAGCCTCAACTCCAAACCCTAAACCCTAAACCCCCCGCCCTGCTGAGGGCACCTTGACAGGAGGCCCAGAAGCGGAGGCCCGTAGGGGCCGACACCTCGCGAGGTCGCGGCATATGGTGAGAGCTCGGTGTGGTGTTCCCTGAATAACAAGATATCACAATATACGAATAATAAACCATATAACAACATAGTAGCAACAATAGTAATAGTACGACAAGTAGTATATTAGCAGCTTATGAACAAGGTCATGAGAATACTAGGATAGGAATCTAATAGAAGAGTCATGAAAGTCATAACCAAACTGAAAACATCTATCCTAAGGATCATGTATAAATAGTACTAGATACATAAGCACAGAAATTGTACTAAGGACTCCAATAAGGCTCCCCTAACTTCGGAAAGCCCCTGTCTTGAGGCCCCCACAAAGCTAAGCAGAATCCCAAAACCGCTGTGCTGTTAAGCCTGCCTTACGCCTGAGGGTGCGGAATTATAGGGTTTAGGGTATAGGTAATGGGTAAAGGGTGATTAGGGTTTAGGGTTTAGGGTAATTGGGTATTTGGGGTAATTAGGGAAATTAGGGTAATTAGGGTTCAGGGCGTATCGGGTTGTCGGGTGAAGCAATCACCTCCTGAGCCCATTTCCCGGCGACCTCGCCGCGGGTGCCCACAGCGCGCCGCGCAGGGCAGAGCCTCAGACAGGCGGAGACTGTCACCATATTTTACCGTACTAGCAATCATCGAAAAAGCATGATAAGATAGCTAGAAAGCATTCGATAATCATCATAGCAACACTATTA